GTGGCGTACCTAGGTAAAGTAGATACGTCTACTGGACTATGAAAGGAATTTCAAGAATGCAGACACCATAGACTTAAAATAAAATATAGACTGAGCATCTCATTCATAAATAGCTGGAACGTGCTGTCAGACAATGTCTTGTTATTGTTGTGTTATTGTTTTAGGTTATAATGAGTGCGACACGAGCGATAGATAGGTTGTCTCTGTCGTAACGGTCGTTCCCTGAGGACTCTGCCGAAAAACACAACACTGTCTTTCGTTTCTCAAGTACACCTGAACTCTCCGTATCATAGCCGGGTAATTTTTTTATTCTAATGAAGCTATAATTAAATTAAAAATATATCGTATTTAAACTTTTTTATATTTTATTAAGATTTAGGACAAGTTTTTTAAATAAAAGTTTAGAAAAAACGTCTTAGAGTCCAAAATGGATAAAAATAATAAAATACACGTTATAGAAGAAATTTTATAATCGAAATTACGTAATTTTTGAAATTAATAATAAATTATTAATTTCAAAAATTGCGTAATTTCGATTTAAATTAATAATAAATTATTGATTTTAGTCAAACATTTACAACCCCTAATATTAATTAAAACAGGATCTATTCCACAGATATAATAGAATCGGCGACAGGAAGAGAAAAAAAATATGATTGTTGTAATAACAAGAAGTATGTTAGTATATGACATAAATTAGGATTGATTGACGCATTCAATTGTTTTTGGTCACTTCCTGTTTCACCGGAAATGACTATAACTTTTAATTTTTAAACGGCACCCTCGGTATATTTCTACTTTATTCAACAGAAAATGCAAATGGTTTAATTGTAATTGTAACATGCGGTTCATAATGACAATTTGACTCGAAATACCAAGTGTGTGGTATCAATATATTCATAAAAAAATGCTTTTTCCAAATATGCTAATGAGTCACCCTTGTTCCATTTGAAAAAATTGTTACATGTATGATTAAAAATACGATTTGTACATCTTTTAACCGGCCTAGACAAGACACGAAACCCATTACACGATCAAAACTATTTTTCCAAGGCTCCTTGATTAAAACTTAGTGTTTTTAACAACACCATGGCACCCTGGATTGAAATTTAAAATACGATTTGTTTTTAAGCGACAAAAGTTGACATATGATATGTCATTTTTTATCGAATAAAGTAGCAATATACCGAGGGTGTCTTTAAAAATCAAAAGATGTAATCATTTTGGTGAAACAGGAAGAGACCACAAACAATTGAATACGTCAATAAATCCTAATTTATGTCATATACCTACTAACATACAAATCTGTTTTTTTTATCTGAAAAAATAAAAAAGTTATAGGGTTGAGCCACTTTTGAGACGACCCGGTATATTAAAAAATATTGTTTCATAATGTAATATCATTTTAAAATTCTTGTATGTTATTTTAGATTCTGAAGATAATTTTAGAATAAACCGGAATATATTTTTAATAAAAACATTATTAATTATAACAGTAGTAAATAATGTAATGTAAGAGAAAAAATTCAGATTTTCCATTTTACTAAAATATTATCTAAAGAAGCGCCTTTCTACAACAACGCCACTGACTCCTAATGGGTAAATTGAGAGTTGCCTACAGGTCGAAAGTCGTTTCAAGACAAATGGATTATTAAAGCCAAATTTCTTGCAAATTTGGCACTGGCGAACCATATTTTATGGTTCTTGAACAGAAAAAGTCAATAAAATAAACACTTAAGGACTACAAGCTAAGAAAATGCGTTAATACAGCCGGGGACAAAGCTTTACCGCACACGTGCGACGCGTACTACAAGGTAATAAATGAATAAATAGGCTCCCTCGCCTCTAATCGGTGTTGTCATATTGTAAAGAACTTATCCTTTTTAAACAGTATCCGACTTATAACTTAGTAGTATAAGGACTATTTAATACATCTATGGAATATTAAAACCTACTTTATTAAACTGTAGTATTAATATCTCAATATATGTGTATAACAAGAAAAAAAATAATGATAATATTAAAGACGTGACAACATAGGCTGGATGAGGACGGCTCGGTCGACTGTATCCAGAAGTAAACATGTGTACAAAAATGATTGTTTGACCGCGTTGAGATGTAAATAGTGTAGTCTATATTTTATTTTAAGTCTATGGCAGACACAATATTGGAGTATGATCAATTTACTAGAAAACAAGTTTAAATAAACAGCAGTATATTTTGTACACACTCCGCCCACACAATACATTAGCTACGATAATCGCAAAACAATTTCCGATCTGTTTCCGATGCACGTGATCAGCTTTGAGTGACAAGCGATGGCAACAGCGCTACCAGATTGTAATGGATGTATGAGATGAATCTTAATTTAAAATTGACAAACAATATATTTATTATGTCACTTTTTAAGATTTTTACGTTTTATTTTTAATTTAATAACTAATATTTTAGTAATTAACTGATTTATTAGTTTTATAGCTTATTTTACTTATTACATATTGGCAAAAACTAGTCCATTATGAAGATTATTCTAAGCGTTATTATGGGTTATTTATTTATTTATTGATGTACATCTTACAACACCATAAGTGGTAATAACAAGTAAGAGGGTGCTATTAATGCACAAATAGGTCACAGAATTTAATAAAAACTAACTTAGAAATAACTTTGAAAGTGGTATAATGTGCTTATCAATCAAACTTACTTCTCTGACTGCAGTCAAAGGACCTTTATTGTCACGTTCTCGTTCAAAATAGTTTATCAGGGAAGCTACAAGCTCTTTGCTTCGACTGTTCGGCATATTTGCAACTTGCAACACACAATTTCAAGAAATGCAATACAAAAACTCGGAAATTCTCTCTTAAAGGAACTGTTTGTGCTTAGAAGTACAATTTAAAAAAAAATACTATGAAAATAGGCAAAAACCGATAATTACTATAAAGATTCAACAACAACACGATGTTATACGAAATAATAACTGACGTTAGGATAATTGTCAAATAATAAACGACAACGTTGCTGAAAACGGCGCGGCGCCGGCGCGGCGCAGTGTGACCAACGCAACATAGCGATAATAAAATTCGGTTTGAACCTTTGAATAAGAAGACTTTAGGAAGGAGCATATCAAAAATCTTAGGTACACCGTGATGGGCCTCAAATATGGCCGACTTAAATTCCGGTTTATCAGTGTCGTTCTAATTTTATTTAAAAAATTTAAAACTATGATGTAGGGTAGACGTGGGGTCGACTCAATAATTTGTTGTTTTATTTTACGTTGTGAATAAATGTTGGTAGTTATTAAAATTGTTATAAAAATATATAACTCTTATAAAAATAGATAAGTTATAATAAGTATTTATTAACACAAACATCCGATACGCTACTGAAGCAGGTAAGTTAAATTTAAATTCTTTGACATCTAATCTTTGACAAGTAATAAATAAAAGCTTAAATGCAAGAAAAATATATAATTTAGTTAATTTAAGTGAATTTCATAAATGATCGGTTTACTACACGTATGTATATTATATAGTCACTTACTAGCGAAAAGTTGTTTCATTATTTCACTCAATTTTTGCCGAGATCTACCGCACGCTACACAACCAACTATTTTAGAGTCTTTTTCGATAAATCGCGATAGTGTCACTGTTAATTTAAGTTCTGCCACAATTTCCAACTAGATTTACTACCTTTATACAACTATCAGTAGTAGAATAAATAATAAATAACATAAAATAAGCTTTTTTTTATTTATTATTTATTTATTAATTTATTTTCTAATTTCACATAAGTAAAATTTATAATATAGTAGGCAACGAATAAATAAATATACTATAAATAGTAAAATTACTATAAACAATCGTAAAAGTTAACTTTTATCCAGCTTCATCGTACAGCGCATGATCAAATATATATTTCTTATTTTATTTTATTTGACTGTATGAACGCGCACAAATAAGAATTCCTTATTTCTTATTTTATTTTATTCTTATTTTATTTTATTTGGCTGTATGAACCCACCATTAATCTAAATAAAATGTATGTTACAATCATTTGCTCTATAAAGTAAAATGAAGAGCTGCTCGGTATCTTAAATTATACAACAAATTTAAACATTTTTTGCCAAAATTTCATTTAGTCAGGTTTACAGAGTGTTAATGTCGATATGATTGATGATGTGCATCGGAGAATGTTTTGCGATTACCGTACTTGCGAATTTATCGAATATTTATTGATGGGATGCACTGCTTGGCATCGCCTAATTTTTTACGAGAAAGATCGAAGCTTAGTGGAAGAGTTTCAAACTTGATAGGTAGAATGTAGAATTGGGGGGGGGGGGGGGGTAATCTCCTTGACCTTACACAGTTGTGTTCTCCTTTCTTGAATTATAACACATCATACAGTCTCAGGGCTTTGACAAAAGTCAGTATCTGAGACGGTTTTATAGAGGTTAGTTCTTGATTTCCAATATCACTCGTACCAAATTCATGGCACGAATGGTTGTCGTCTCGGCGCACTCAGTGTGATGAGGTATTCTGGTGTTTGCCCATTTTCCCCACAGAATTTGCATTCGCCGTTCTTTATTAGCTTCGATCTAGTGAGGTGTTCGTTGAGGACACAGTGACCTATTCAAAACCCCGTGAAAATTTGAAGACTGTTCTTCGGTTTCCACTGGGGAAGCAGAACGGTTTTAGTCCAGTTATTGGAGTGTTCGCTCTTTTTGTATCTAGATCGTTTGCTTTTTCATCACCTCCTATCTTTTGGCGGGCTGGCAGAGTACGAGGACATAAGTTGATAAGGTAGCCTGATCTATAAACCAGTACTTTAAAACGTTTTAATAAAAGTTGCTCTAAAATCAATAGAGAGCCAATAAACGACATCCTTAACATTTGCATATGATTCATGAAAGGAAACTGATGAAAAAATAAATTTCAACTAACAAAAACAAAATTATCTTCGTTAATAACCCTTTTGTAATAGATACTCTCCTCTTGTTCCAGAGTGTGGAATTTCAACGACGAATCTGGATATAGCCAAGTCCTGCATCTGGATACGCCCAAAAACGTGGTTCCTGGATCTGAAATTGGCCAGCTAACAATTTCAGGCGGTCTGGCAATGCCACAGATTAATAAAATAGCTGGAGGAGGACTCACAGCTTCTCTGGCCTCTCTAACACCGTTGCTAACAATTGAAAACCAAGACAAAAACAACGATTCCAGTAAATTTGACTTATTCAAATTGTTACCAGAAAAAGTAAGTAATTTTAGGCGCGATCCCGACGTAACGATTTATCGTACGATTTTCTTGCATTGACAATAGATAAAATTGGCAGTTTTATTGCAATCTAAATAGCGTTTGTCAACAATACATAAATTAAAATTTAAAAAATTTTAAAAAGCAAACATGTAATTGACATAATTGTTATGTAATATAAGTATTCCATTTAAATGTAATATGTTATTTTACAATTAAAAAAATGTAAATTTAAAAAATATATACAGCTATTTTTAGTATGCAAACAATCAACAATCCTGAGAGGCGCTTTATTTATTTTCATTTCTGAACGCGATAGATGAAGTTCTAAAGGTGATGTTTTGTGACACAACTTGGTCTGTACGTTTTATCCGCAACGTTTTGTCACCTCAAGCAAATCCTACGATAAGTCGTTATGTGTGGACCACGCTAAGTAAGCTTAAGTCAAAAATTTGAAAAGTTTTTTAAAGAGAATTTGTTTTTTCAGATACAGTCAATATTGTCTTTTAAAAAGGAAGACGATTCGTTTAGTGAACATCCGATGTTCGGTAGTCACAAGGCAACTGTGTCAATTTTAGAAGTACTGTCAAAAGTACAGTTGTATTTCAGCATTGATCCTGATTTGATTCAAGCCGTGAAGCGTTGGATTCAGCTGCGTCAGGAAGATGATGGCAGGTTCACACCCCTGGATGCTGACATCAAATTTTCAACTACAAACAGGTAGATATATGTCTAAAATTGAAATGTAAAATCTGTGACAAAATTACAAGAAAATGTCACAAATTTTTGTTGTTAAAATACCTGTAAAATATTTGCACTAATTTAAGGACAACCCTGTATAATATACAGGATAAATCTGAAAAAGTGCACATCTTTTTCGTGGTGTCTTATTTCGATTCCAGTGAACACGAATTTTTTTGATTTTTTTTTTAATTTTCAATTAAAAGACGTAACATCTTGACAATATGGCATCATAGGTAGTAGATTAAATTTACAAGAAAGAAAACCCAGAATATATCTAGTGATTCAAAAAATTTAAGTAAAAAATATATATTTTTTTAATTTTCAAAGTGAAATATCTTTTCTATTTTGAACTTATTTCAAAAGTGGTAAAGAGAAAATATGCTTTTTTTATCGAGATCCACAGTCATTTTTCGAGGTCCAATTCCATCAGTCATCTGTCAAGTCCACCAATGAACTATAAATTTCATTCAACTCTGCTTGGTTTCTTTCTTTGTCTTAACATATACAACGTGAGTCTTATATAAGTGCAAATATTTCGACCCCAGTAACACGTCTATGAGTTTTTTTTTCGCAAAAAGAAGATGTTGAAAATCGTGCGTTTTCTTTTAAATTTTCCTGTATATTTTAGAAAACTTTTTAAGGTGCATACTCACTGAGCAAACGAATGCCGAACGAACAACGAACTCCGAATGATTCGTCAAGTGTGTACGTAAATCCGAAGGCGAATCGAATGCCATTTTTAAGTTCGGCTCGCCGTCGCCTGCGTTCGGTCGGAGAGCGGTACATCAAAGAGATTCGCAGTTCGGTGTTGACGAGATTCGCGGGTTTTTATTTTTTGGGGGGAACTCCGAATCCGAATTTGTATTATTTGCATTTGGACGCTGTGTTTTTCAGTTAAAAAGATTCAAGATGTCTGATAAAGTTCAATGAACAAACGAACTTACAATTGATTTAATTGAAGCATATAGAAAGGAGAAATTAATGTTTTCTTTTCCTTTTTTGTTTTTTTGCTTTTAGTGATCCCGCAATAATTATAAAAGCTGATGCCGCTATAATTTTGTCACACATTTTTTCTGCTAAACAAACTCACAAACCGACGAAGCCAAACAAACAGCGAACTTTCTGCATTCGTTTCAGATTCGCTCATTGGTAGGGTACCTTAATTACGGCCGAACGAACCCAGAACCTTCGTTATTCGGACTTCGTTGTTCGTTCGGCATTCGTTCGGTCAGTGAGTACGCACCTTTAGAGCTCCTGTTCATGGCAAATTTTCCCACGATGTTATTTCTTAATAATATCTGATTACCATGGTTACGGCACTAAAAAGAACGCAAATATAGAAAAAATCCGGTGGCTCTCAATTTTTTTTTTCAAACTTGAATAACTTGGTTATTTTCTTTGGATAAATCTTTGAATAAGAAGACTAAGGAAGGAGCATAATGCTATCCATGTATTCATGCATGGTGGGCGGTAAAAGGACTCTAGGGTGGGGATCCTTGACAGTTCTGTTTGACGATTAATTTGACACATTTGAATTTGATTTGAAATTTTGTGGATTTGTCAGTCTTTAGGAAGCTTATTTTATATTATTTATTATTTATTCTACTACTGATAGTTGTATAAAGGTAGTAAATCTAGATGGAAATTGTGGCAGAACTTAAATTAACAGTGACACTATTGCGATTTATCGAAAAAACTGAAAAATAGTTCGTTCTGTAGCGTGCGGTAGATTTCGGTCAAAAATCGATTGAAATAATGGAATAACTTTTCGCTAGTAAGTGACTATACCTATAATATACATACGTATAGTAAACTGATCATTTATGAATTTTACTTGAATTAACTAATTATATATTTTTTCTTGCATTTTTGCTTTTATTACTACTTTTCAAAGATTAGATGTCAAAGAATTTAGATACATCAATTTGACTTACCTGCTTCAGTAGCGTTTTGTGTAAATAAATAATTATTATAACTTATCTATTTTTATTAGAATTGTATATTTTTATAACAATTTTAATAACTACCAACATTTATTCACAACGTAAAATAAAACAACAAATTATTGAGTCTACCCCACGTCTACCCTACATCACAGTTTTACACTTTTTAAATAAAATTAGAACGGCACTGATAAACCGGAATTTAAGTCGGCCCAGGTTTACTTTTTTATTACAAGTTTTTGATATGCTCCTTCCTTAATCTTATTTCAAATTCAAAGGTTATTTTAGACTTATTTGAAAAATGGGTAAAGAAAAAATATATTTCTTTTGTCGAGATCTACCAGCCCTAAAAATATTTACACTTATTTGAGACTCGCCCTCTATAACATTCAACATAATTATGTTCATAATTAAATCACCTTTCACACTATTGGCTCCCTTTCTTTTATGCATTTGTTTTTTTATAGTAGTTCTTATGGTATACCTCGAAAAAATATCACTCCTGAAACATTGCGATTCGAAAGTGTTGTTGAAATCACTGCAGAAACTGTAATAGTCCTTTACGAGATTGGAATTGAGACCGATACGGATTCAGGTAAAAAAACTCTTTATTTTTATTCATATTTATTATAGTTTATTAATAATAAACTTTCTGTTGGTTTCAGATACGCTACAAAAGGCAAAAATATTTCTGGAAAACAGTCTGCCTAATGTGGAGTTTCCCGAAACAATGGCTGCTGTAACCCTAGCTTTAGTTTTGGTAATGTATTACTACAGTATGTCTCCAGGTTGTGTTTGCAAGAGGAAAGACTTTTTTATTAATGACATTTTCAGAAAATAATTTTAAGTCCTAAAAATCAAAAGACGTTTCTATGGTAACATAATTTATATTTAATTCATTGATAGATGGTTTATATCAGAGAGAACACTAATAACTAAAGTGAGAGAGACCGATCAACGTTAATTTTTGAAGACGTGTTAGTGGCGCGGCCTTTGGCGTCTAACCCGAACTATGAGCTTATTATCGATATAGTAGGTTGCATTCATACCTATATACAGGCGCCAAAAATTTATAATTTGTATATTTGAACCGAATCTTAATCTTTCAAGTTTATAATAAGAAATCTTCGTAGTTTTTTTAGATTATTTTCTTGACAACGGAAATTTATTATTAGACTTTAAAGCATTAAAACCTATAAATAAAATACTGTGTAGGAACATAATAATTTATTTAACTCCAGACTCCTTGCCATAGTCCAACTCAAGGCTGCAATCTTCAGTATCTTTTTTATCTAACTTGGTTGGGAGTGAACAGGGAAGCACGGTTTGGAGCTCGCACAGTGTATCAGTCGGTATCCCGTAGGTATTCAATGTTTTTGATGGTCTTTATTCTATAACAAGAACCTAGCAGTTGAAGACAATAATTTGTATTCTTGGAAATAATACCAGGTATAATACCTAGTCGTTCCATAGGTATCAGAAAAGAATGTGATGTTTTAAATTAAAAAAATTAAATTAGCAATGTACGATTATTATGTGCGCTCACTATTACTATTAGGTATGTTAAAATAATTACCGAGATAAAACTTACCTTTAAAGGAAACGTTTTGTCTGGGTCTCAACCACAAAACAAAAATTACAAAATGCGGAATAATCTTCTCTTCTGACAAGCTAAAAGAACAGACACATTCAGTCAAAAACAATTTATTATTCCGATTTGCTCCGATTATCAACAGATTTTAGTTATCTCCTTCTAGAGCTAAGAAATAGAAAAAGCTACTGACAATCTAATTAATCCTGTCAAATGTTTAACTTGCAAAGTTGAAAACTTCCTTTTGTGACCGCCAAACGCTATGCGCGTCTGGGATGCGCGGTGACAAAATAAACTTGTCTACGAAATGCCCTATTCCACAAGCTCTCTCACTTCAGTTATTAGTTTCTCTCTGGTTTATATTAATTTTGATTAGCGTCACATTTTTTGATAATATATATGTATATACATGTAAATTTAATCTACTACCTATGTTGACATATTATCAAGAATTTATGTTTATCAACTAAAAACTAAAAAAATTTCCAAAAAATTACAAATTTTCTTTTTCGCGAAAAAAGAAACATAATCTTATTTCTGGGGTCGAAATATACTACCCCTAAAAATATTTGCACTTATTTAAGACTCACCTTGTATAAGTAGGTATCACCCTTTCCGTCACTTTGAACTAAGTGTGCTTGTTTCAATGACTATATATTCTAAAGGACTGTGGATCGCGTCAAATCGCCGCTATCGTAGTCACCGTGGATGCTTACGTCACGCAGGGACCAGCGCTCCACAGTGCGGCGGATGGTTATTCTAGCGGGACAAAATCTCAGGAGCAATATTTGGGACTTAAAATCTAAGAACGTGTCAAATGGTCTAATATATAGTAACCATATGGTTAAATTTATTTATTTATTAACAACTTAATTTATTAATAAATAAATAAATACAAGATAATAAAACTATGATATTATTCGTACATGACACACAAAAACCGTACTGTAAACTATTGCCAAATACATAAAATTATGATATCAGATGAAATACTTACATCTGTATATTTTATTTTAAAAAATTCTATTTTATTTTGAAAATAGTAAATAAGATATTTTAATTTTAACACTCGGTAATTCTAAATTCATAATATATAGTAAGTATCTAAGACAATTTTTTAAACTTTTATTAAAACGAGTAATAATAATTTAGTTTTATTATAAATTATCAGCTTTAGCATATCGTCATGCTTTATTTAACTAGAAAATAATTTGGATGCTTTTGTCTTGAGGAAAATTGCCGAACTGACTATTGATGTCATTCATTAGTCCGAAGGCCGGGCCTTTCCGTGTATGGGCAGCTATTAATTTTTTAAACTCAGTGCACCTCAGTGCCTTTCGATGGAGTTAAGGCTTCAACAACTACAGCAGCATCCTTACTCCTTACTACCACTAGCCCTCATAGTACTTGCAAAACCCAATTCTTCTTTTGAATGCTCTTCAATTAACCCTTTAACGAGTCTTTGTTTCGTTTTTATACTATCCGATTGAGTTTAAATTTTTGGGTATTCACCTGTTAAGCTTGAACTCCTTGTGACTACCTGTGTAGGTAACTATTAGTAACTTAAAAGATCTACATCATTCAATATATCAATATTTGAAAAAAGTTAAGTTTGATATTTGCAGAAAGGCACGAAGGATTTTAACAAATAATATACCTACAGTAGACAAGTGCAGGGTGGGTCAAATTCGACGCTTTTAAATGGAAACACCCTTTTCTATAGGAGATAGACGAAAACTAATATCGATGTCTGAAGCTCAATTTTCATCAAAAACATGATGGTGAAAACTGCACATCAATATCTGTTACCGTTTCGGAGTTACGGGATGTTTTTCAAAAATGTTCATTTTAACAAATCGCTGTAACTTTTTTGCTATGGAAAATTTTGTATTTTTATTAAAACATTTCCAAAGCACCTTTTTACGTAGAATTGAATGGTATAAGTATAATTTTTTTAAAATTAATAATTTAAGAGTTATCAACAGAAAAATTGATTTTTTATTTGGAACACCCTCTATATTTTTAATTAACTGAAAAGAATTTAAAATTACCTTTCCAAAAATATAGCACACTTGATATTTTGTTATAATCCCCTTCGAAATACAGAATTTTTAAAAGTTCGCCACTTTTAACTAGTAGGCTTTGGACCACTTATTGATGATATGCCCTTAATGGAACTCGAAAACATATTTTTCCAGCAAGACGACGCACCGCCTCTGAACACTGAAGTTATCAGCAAATTGTTGCAGTCAATTTCAAGAATAATTGAATAATAAGATAAGAGCTAACCAAGATCCCAGCCGTTGGCCGTCGAGGCCGCCTGACTTAGTGCCCATGGATCTAATCCTATGTATATATTTGCGGAAGAATAAAGGTTCCTTATTCTTCCGTATAATCTACACAAGAATTAGAAATACTTAGCAGTTATGAGAGGGTATCTTTCACCACCACTGAGTTAATGAATTCCGCGAGAAATGTTCAAAAACTGCCCCGTCTGTCTATAACAGAAGACAATGTCGAACACCTGTAGCAAAATCTCATGTCTTGGTTTGCTATTTATTTTTATTGTTATTAACTTAAATGTGTTGATGTTGATTAAATATATTTTAAATTATTATAAAATCTGCATCTCTCATAGCAAATATTATTTTCGTTTTAATTGATGCTCACAGCTAGATTTTTTTGCATTATAGCCGGTGCCGTTCAAAGCCTACTTATTTAAAGCGGGCGAATTTTTATATACTCTATATCTCGAAGAGGAATCGAGCAAAATATCAAGTGTGTTATATTTTTGGAAGGGTAATTTTATATTATTTTCAATAAATTAAAAATATACAGGGTGTCCCATATAAAGAATCAAATTTTCTGTTGATAATTCTTAAACTATTAATTTAAAAAAAAATATACTTAAACCATTAAATTCTACGTAAAAAGGTGCTTTGGAAATATTTTCATAAAAATACAAAATTTTCCATATCAAAAAAGTTACAGCGATTTGTTAAAAATGCATATTTTTGAGAAACACCCCGTAACTCCGAAAAGGTAACAGGTATCGATATGCGGTTTTCACCATCATATTTTTGACAAAAATTGAGCTCCAGACACCGATATTAGTTTTTGTCTATCTCCTATAGAAAAGGGTGTTTCCATTTAAAAGCGTCGAATTTGACCCACCCTGTACATATCTTTGACAATCTTCAACATAATTTGGCTTTGGAATAAAATGTATAAGCACTTTTAAATATTTTGTTTTCGTATGACCTCAGCCTTGCTGAGCAGATAACGATCAAATTTGGTTGATAAAAATGTATCGAAATACCAAGAATATATACGACCAAAAAATAATTCATGCATTTTTATATCAATTGGAATGTCTACTATTTATTCTTATCAGTACACATTTTTGGCTTATTTCTTAGCAAACGGTTTTGTCCCGCTAGATTTATCGTCCGCCGCACTGTGCGCTCGTCCGTTAAACGCAAAAATAACTGTCACTGTCTGAAATCTTTAGCGCGAACTTCAACTCGGTCCCTAGAAAACGTAAAAAAACTGACAGTGCAGGAAGATAGTAATCGAACTATCCTTATCTCTATAGTATCCTTGGGCTTGTTTAACATTTTAAAATAGCAAAAAATATGACGTTAATTGAAATTCTATAAATAAAAAACTATAAAAGAATGAAAACGAAATTATATTACCATAGAAACATCTTTTGACTTGGGACAGAAAAAAATTTACTATATTTTCTTATTTTTTTATTTTCTCTAAAATGGTATAAAAATTTGAAAAAGTATAAACGGAATAGAAGTATAAAAAGGAATGATTTTTTTCTCCAAATGTTAATTATAAAAAAGTGTTTCCTCTTGTAGGATCAATCCGGGGATACACTCCAGATTTACTCGTAGATGCAACTTATGGTTCAATTTCAATAGTTGTCAATTGACTGTCACTAGCGAATGATTAAACTTGGGGAACTAATATCAGCTTCTGAAACCTGTAGGTATATATGGAATATGGAAACTAATATTTCCATTTATTTTATTCAGGTGCGAAGCGCCACAGCAGCTTGGGCCATAGAAAAACTGAGGAATGCTTCAACAACTGAAGCTGGCGAGTTCGGTTGGCCAAGATTCGCTCCGAAAAGAGACGCAGCTGATTGGCTATACGAGTCAGAGTCAGAAAAGACTTTAAAGATGCCTTTAGTCAGTAAGTAATTTTTTTACAATTTATTAAGCTTCATTCAGTACCTCGAATTTAGTAGTTTCAATTAGCGTAAATAATACGAAAAGCCAATATATGAGACGGTTTTACAAGTCATTTTACTTGCTTACTATTTGGATGTAAAAATTTCATGAAGATATCAGTTTGAAAACAGCAGAGTTGTTATCAAAAAACCCTGTATATTAAAAGTTAAGGTGTTTAGAACATACATTAATATGAAATTTTGTGATTATAACAAACTATAACTTTGAAAAACAAATAATCTTGTCATAATTTTTTAACATATGATTACCATTTATTTATTGTTAAACTATTGAATGGCGATATTTAAAGTAATAAAACTTATATTTCAGCCACTGTAGAAGAATACAAGGCTTCGTTGTACGCTCTGTCAACTTTTTGCATCATTGGGGACCTAAAAAGTGCCCAAAGTGTGGCAAGGTTCTTGTTTTATCGTTCCCATATGCTCGACAATCACTACGAACTTCTGTATCCCGCTGTCAAATCCTTTGTGGAGTACGACACTCTAGCCAAGGATCAACAAAGGTAACTTGAACATTTCCATTAGTTAAAGTATTTAAATATAAAAAAGTCTATACCTATGTGGCGGATTCATCTCTCCAAAAAATCCTATATGGGTATTTCGCCACTGCAAGAAAATCTACAAAATAAAATAGTTATTTTATGTAAATACTTCTGCGTTAATCCCAAACGGAAACTACTTGTCACAAGTTAGGTTTACAGATATACAAATTTGCCTAACTAACAAAAAAAAATGCTTAACGTTTCGGAAAGTTTATCTCTTTCCGTCGTCGGAAGCAAAAAAATACAAAGAATAAGGATTGAAAAAACAATTTAAAATATTTAAATTCAACTATTCACTTCAGTTTTTTAAAACAGATACGTCTACAAAAACCGTTGACGTTCTGTTAAAATGACATTATATCAAGTTAAACTTCAAAATTAACAAAGTACCTGATAACAGTTACTTAATAAGGTAAAACCAAAAAGTCCCAAACTTTCTGTATAATTATTTTTAATTTTTACGTATGTTATGTTTATTTATGTTATGTTCTTTAAAATCAAAAAAGCGATTGCCATACATTACTGACATCTACAGATACATGAACAATACATTTATTTTTATTAGATTGTATTAAAAAAACCTCTTTTATTTTTCTTTTAGATGCTATCGCTTCTTTCATTATAATTTTGGCGTTATTAAAATTTATTCTGTGCCCGGTGTCCCATGAATGCTGGCAAACCTTAGATTTGTGAAAATTTCATTTTCTTATAGAATTCATCAATAAATTCAACAAAATTTCCTGTAGAAGATATAGACCATACCAAATAAACTTTTAGTCACGTGATTAAGCTTGATCGACACAGCGTTGCCCGCTTTTACATACTTTCTTTTGATTAAAATATTTTAGGAAACAAAAATGAATTAATTATATCAATATATAAATTATTATTGTTTACATCAACAAAACTGACCTCCTTAACAGCACATAAGGGCCATTATTAGTATCGCTTTCCCGTTCAAAATATTCTAATAAGATTGCGATGAAAATTTTGCAACGGCTGTTAATGCTTAGGCATCTTGTACACTTCGCACTACAAGTAGTTCTAAAAAGAACAATTTTTGACGGCAAGGTCTTGTAGTAAAAAATTTTAGGGTTAAGTATCACAACACAATTTACCTAAACCAAAAATTTGTAATACCAAACTAATGTGTGGTGAACGAATCAAAATGTCGAATCATGTCAAAACGAATCAAAATGTCAGGAAATAAATAAATAAATATGGCAACTTGACATTTTTACAACAGAACTACCACTTAGTTCATCGTGACACCGAATGTGTCCCATGGTTGGTAAGAATGAATAATTTAGCAATCGCGTCCTCGATGACGTAATTGAAAGTTTATTTGGTATCGCTTATAGATTGAAATTCATTCAAAAAATTGTCTGAAAGGTTGTAAGACTATAAATTAAGAAACATAAAATTTGCTTATAACTGAACACACTGTAATCATTCCAAATCAATAAAAATCATATTAAAAACACTTTTTAAAGAATCATCAACACTATTTACTGATTCTATTCTTTTATTTACATATTTTCTAGGTCGCTGACTATTTCTCTAGCAACCTCCGGCATGGAACTCACAGAGACTCTTGAGCTAAATTCAAACAAACCATCACAAACCTTATATTTACCCAGTCTACCAACCAAGGTGTTTGTTTATGCTACTGGAGCAGGCTGTGCAACTATAGAGGTTTGAGAATTACATGCTTTTGATGATAGTAATGTTATTCAATTTTTTTAATCATACGATAGGGTAAAACATCATATTCCACGTATTCTGTGAACAGTAAGACGGAGCTTCTGGAAATAGGGTCTGAAGTGGTAGAAGAAATTCAGCCTGATCGCAGTTCAATAGAAGAGATCGAAGGGAAACCGCCCACTTTAAAAATACAAACATGCCTCAAGTAAGCTGTTAAATTACTAGGATCTGTGAGATATACCGTGTGATGCATCATCGACCTGAATATTGGAAATCTCATGTAAACTTTAAAAATGATGAATAAGTTTGCCCCATTTTATTTTTCAGACAAATTAAAAAAAAAACTTTTTAAAGAACTCTTTAAACTGAAGCAAATTGTTCGTTTTGAAAAATTTATACAAATTCGTTTTTGAGTTAGGAGAAAATACAAAATAACTCGGTCCTGGTCAAACAAACATAACAATCACTAGTTAAGTCAGGATATAACAAATCTATTATGATTTTCTTCTACTCGTACGGAGATCTGTCAAAAATATCCTAATTTATATTCTCTATGAAAAGTTAAAAAAGCCCACTATAAACATAAAATAGAATATTTAAAAAATTAAATATATTTCGCAGTAGACATAAGTAGACACACTAACAGCATAAGTAGACACACTACTTCAAAAAAAATATTTATGGAAATATACAGGGTTGTTCATCACATACGACACGGAGTATTGTAGCTAAACGATTAGATTTTTACAAATTGTAAGTTTTGGGTTCGTTGAAGGACTATTAGAGCTACAATTTAAAAATAATTTTACAAGATTCAGAGTGTCCCAAATAAGTAAAAAATACTATAGTTGTATTTTTTAAATGGAACACCCTGAATATTATGCTATTTTTAGATTCTGCGATTGAAATAAAGGTAAATTTGATTAAACCTTACCGTTTTTAAAATATTTTCAATTTTGTGAAATTGCAGTTAAAAAATTTCGGCTTCATTTCTCCAAGGGTATCAAAGTGTTTAATACTAAATATTTACTGAAGATTATTTATTGATCAGATATTGTGTCGCAATATCAAAAATTATACTACATTATACAAAGTGTCCAAATTTTTTTATTAAATAATTACTAGCTTTAAACGGCAATAACTAGTTTAATTTATATGGAAGACCCTGTATATTTTACGTGAATCAGAGGCAGAACTTCATTGTGTATCAAATTATATTATACCATTTTTTATCTATCTCTTCAAGTTTTCGTAGAAAATGCGTTTTCTTATATTAGACCTCATTTATCACTATATACCCATGGAATATTGACATTTACAAAAACTTCCATAATTTTCTCCATTTTAATAAAAACGTACTCGAACGTGTGCCGAATTGGGGCGAAAGGCGTTTTTTTGACAAATACCTGAACTCCATTGACAGCGACCGTCAATTTCACTCACGTCAACCGTCAACAGGTCATTTAATGCAATGGTAACCTGGCAACAAAGTTCCTACCAGCAGCGTTAATACAAATATACCGGAAGATTCATAAGTGCAACATTTGTGTCTATTTAAAATTTGTCAAAATATACTAAATTCAGTAAAAAAAATAGTAAATTTATCTATGTACCACGGGAATTGTAAAGTAATAATTATAAAACATCGGGAAATTATTCTCCTACAGAAACTTTACCCTCGGTAATTAACACCCTTATTATTTCCTTGGTACATACAAAACTATTATTGGGTACTTAATAGAATTATATCTTTTAGGTGGAAAGGTGACAAACCCTCTGGAGTCCTCCGTATGGAAGTCACCCTCTTCTCCGGCTTCGAGATCACTCCCAACCCTCCGCAACTTCTCAACCCGCCCAGAGAAATGGCGGAAATGCAACACGGCAGTCACGCAAACACACTCTGGTTCGTCTTCGCCAACATCTCCGTCACCTGTCCAGTCTGTGTCCAGTACAACGTCCGCAGTCCATACGTCATCACAGGACGCAGACCGGCTTATGCCCGGGTCTATCCCGTCACTAGACATGATTTAGCTGCCGAGACTTTCTTCCATGTTCAAGGGAAGAGCTCTATGTTGAGTTCAATCACTACAGATGATGTGATCACTTGGTTTGGGGTTGATGGGATTGGGAGTACTGGTATGGTTATTCCTGATGAATGCATGAAGAAATTGGTGCGATTGAATTCGACCAAAGATGAAACTACATCAAGTAGTGTAACTTTTGTCACAAGATCACCAGAGAAGGTTAATTTTATTAGTTTAGCTACTAGAGCTTTTGAAATTGAACAAAATTTGAGTGCCGAAAATAAAAACAAAGATGTCTTTACCACTGAACGACCTAGAGCTTCAACAATCGTTCCGGAATCAGACGAAGAATACATAACTACCACTGAACTAAGCGAGGTGGATAGTGTAAAGAAAGTACTTCTGGGTCAAGTCAAAACAAGTCCCGTAAAATTGAAAATATTCAAACCTAACACTAAAACGTCCAGACATTTTGAAACAGCTGGTTTGAGATCTGAAGAAAAGAACTCCAGAACAACGCCAAACGAGTTAAGTCATGATTACAAGCTCACTCAGGTGTACAAGCCTGATCAGACGTTAGAGACTCCTCAGTTGTTAACTGGGAAATCATCTCCAACTGTACCGTGGACTCATCAAACTACATATGCTCCTACGACACCCACTGGTACTGCTAGTTCTGTAGTACAAACAATACGTCATGTGAACACTGCTCAAATACAAGATGTACCAGAGAAATTTGTTAGGCTCAAGGTTGAAAATGGTGATGACTCGAAAGAGGCAAATTTTGATGTTGAAAGTAAGCATTATGAGTATGTCCTGCTCAATAAAGAGTCTTTGTGGAGTATGCTGAAAGAGGCAATGGACGAGAAATTTATTAAAAATGATATTAAAAATATTTTGAAAGAAGAAGAGAAGAGTAGAAGTTAAAATTTTTCTCTTTGCTTTGAAATCTGAGTTGGTTTTAGTTCGAATATGCTTCCTAGTTCAAAGCTAATCTCCAGGTATTTTTGTCAAAACTCAAACTGGTGCTTTTTCCATAATTTTTATTCAAGTAAAAAAAGCTGGTTTCTATTGGTGAATGATATCAAGATAATTAAAGATATTCCTAAAAATCATATAAGATTAATCAAAATTTTTTTAGGAAATACAAAAATAAATGAATTATAAATATATAAACAGTTATTATTTACATCAACAAAACTCACCTTCTTAACAGCACTTAGGGACATAAAGGGTCATTACTACCGCCCTACTGTTCAAAATATTTTAATAAAGTTGCGATGAGTTTTTTACGGGTATTAAGATATCTTGTACACGTTGCACTAAAAGAGGTTCTAAAAAGAACAATGTTCAACTGCAATGTCTACTAGTAAACATTTTTAAGCTTAAAGTATCACAACACTATTTATTTAAACTAAAAACTCATAATAAAAACTAAAGTGTCAAAACGAATGACAATGTCAGGAAATAAATAAATAAATGCGTCAATTTGACATTTTTTACAGCAGAGCTACCACCTGAATCCCCAGCGGGAAATTTAAATTTCACTTAGTCAACGCGGCGCCGATTATGTACATGGTTGGCAACAATTAATTTAAAAATCGCGCCGAAAACAGTTTCTGAGTATTGGTTTGGATCAGGTTTGGATAATCTAAAATATATACAGGGTATCCCACTTAAGATGGATACAAGCCAATATCTTGGTTGTTTGTTGAGCGATCTTTTTCATTTTTCGCAGGAGTCTGTATGGTTATAAGTCGTACATTTTGCCCAGGGTAAGAAATGCGATACCTCATAGACGTACGTTTGAATGGGGTTTGATATTTTTCGAGTCAAGAGTAAACTACCCTTAGGACAGTATTTATTTCAAATCTGATAAATTATATTGAATCCTCCTTACCTAAGATACTTAAGTTCTAATTTTTATAAATATTGATACAGGGCGTGTCATTAAAATAAGACATTTTTATTTTTATTATTATTTTTTAAGTACTTACGACGCCACTGGAAAAACAACTGGTTTATTATCAATAACCAATTATACTCAATTATCAATTAATAAACGATTTAAGTTTGGTCGAAGATGATGACTTTTAGTTCGTTATAGTTTTATAAATCTTTGTTTAGAGCATATTTTTCAAAGTTAATAGTGTTTGTTTTAAATAAATATTTGGATTTTTTAAAATATTCCTCAATAAAACGAATAAAAATTATATTTCAGATTCCATTGAAAACTGGGTTTTTAAATTATTTTGTAACTCATTTTATTCATTTGTATTAGCAAACTTAATTTTTTTTTAAGTAAACAAAATAAATTGAAAATATTTAGTTTTTTTGTATCGTATCCTAATTATTATGAAAGCTATCTGAAAACTTAAATCGATTATTATTGATAATTGGTTATTAATAATAAACCATTTGTTTATCCAGTGGCGTCGTAAGTACTTAAAAAAAATAATAATAAAAATAAAAATGTCTTATTTAATAACACACCCTGTATTAATATTTATAAAAATTAGAACTTAAGTATCTTGGGTAAGGAGGATTCAATATAATTTATCAGATTTGAAGTAAATACTGTCCTAAGAGTAGTTTACTCTTGACTCGAAAAATTGCAAACCCCATTAAAACGTACATCTATGAGGTATCGCATTTCTTGCCCTGGGCAAAATGTACGTCTTATAACCATACAGCTTCCTGCCAAAAATGAAAAAGATCGCTCAACAAACAATCAAGATATTGGCTTGTATCCATCTTAAGTGGGACACCCTGTATATTATTGTCTGTTGTCTCTTTCATATAAGTAGTATTAAAAAAGTGGTTAGAAACATTTGCCAATAGAAATCAACCGATCAAATCACACGCTATCAAAGACAATCATTTTCGAATACACGCGTGCTACATCATTCCAAAAAAAAGAGGTTTTCTCTTCCCAAACCATAGGTTAGTGATACATTTTAAAGTTACGCTTACGTCGGAGTTGTGCCCTTTAACTTTATCATTTCCTAACGATTTTAAGAGCAATATGTGTAGGTGTCTTCGGTGTACATTGAGAAGGGGACACTCGGTATAATAAGTCAATTCTTGTTGTAGAAACACGAACATTTGTAGGTTTAAGGCGAATCGAACACGCTATATTGTTATAAAAAAGAAGAATGTAAAAACAGATTATATTATTGTAAAGTCTGTCCAAGCAGCTAGGGAAGATTTCGATTTTCGATAGACGCAGAGATATATAAGGTGATTCACGGCGATGGTACGTTAGACGTTTATGAAGAACCGGTGGTATGCAGGGTAGACAGTCGCTATGTTCAATCTGTCTAAATCTTCCAACTGAAAATTGCATAGGAAGGGTAAAAAAATATTTATCTTAATAAAAATTGCTTTTCAACGATATATCATGTTCTTATACATAAACCTTCCTTCTTTTAGTAGAGCTATTTATAAATTAATAATTCTATTATTACAGTTTCATTTCAAGAATTTCGTTACCATGATAATTTTAGAAATTTAGCAAGTAAGTATAACGTCGAATAGTACGAGAGCTAGCAACGTCGGAAAAACAAGTATTCTAAGACTTCTGGCTCTTTGATATATCTTTTACTATGCTCTCTAGAACAGCATGTGGCCGGTCTGGCTGCCGGTAAACGTTGCGTTTCCTACTGCGCATTGAAGGACGATCCTGTATTTTTATTAGTCCTTTAAATTCTAGTATTGAATATAAATCGAACATGTCTCCATGGCGCAGTGCGTAGAGTTTCCGACCACGAACCGATGATTCAGAGTTCGAATCCGGGTCAGGGCAAAGACTTCTTTATATTATTTTCGTTTATATTCTGATAGTAAAGTATTAAATATTTGTTTTTTTTTAATTACCAGAATTATTTAATACTTTACTTTTTTTTTAAATCTTTGTCCTGACCCGGGATTCGAACTCTGAATCATCGGTTCGTGGTCGGAAACTCTACGCACTGCGCTATGGAGACATATTTGATTTATATTCAATACTAGAATTTATAGAACTATATTAATAAAAAAACACAGGATCTTCTTCCGATGCGCAGTAGTGAACGCAACGAGTATCGGCAACCAGGGCCGCATGCTGTTCCAGGGAGCATAGTAAAAGATATATCAAAGAGCCAGATGTCTTAAAATATTTTCTCGAAAACGTTGCTTAGTGGTTGCTTGCTCTTATTGATACTTATAAAGTTTGAATATTTGTCATGGTAACGATTTTATTTAAACCTTTAATAGAATGATTATCGGTGATTATCTTTGAAATGGCTTTACTGAACAAACCAGGTTTAGATATAGGAATATGATATATCGTTGAAAAGCCATTTTATTTATGTTTCGATTTGTTAAATAATATACATAGGCTTAAATTTAAAATAATAATTTGAACGATTTTATAACAAACGGAAATATATTTTTTTTATTTTCCTTTTTAATATCCAATCGGTTGGTTTAGATAGATCGAATATGTCGACTTTCCTTAACCTATAAACCAAATTTCAGCTTTCAGTATGCTGAATTTATGATTTAACCAACGTTTATTTAAGTTCATATTTTTGTCAATTTTACACGTTTTATTTTTTATCTCAAAATTGTTAGAGATAGATACCCTGCTGGCAGGCGAAACCTTGGGTCGGCGTTTACATGTATAGGCGTGAATCGCTATGGCAACCTAGTAAGTCGGAGAGAGCAAAAATACGAAGTATTTATTATATAACCACTTAATCTGACGCTAGATTCCATGCGCTTGTGAAAATACTTGTCTTCTGTCTTTATTCAGTACATCTTATTTTGCTAAGCGTGTTGACCGTACTCTTCGTACACACGAAAATCGGCACCCAAAACCAGAAATGCCAGCCCTAGTATAGGTTACTATAATAGAAAAATTATGAGATATGAAAGTAGTTTCGAAAAATGTAATAATATACTGGATGTTCCATTTAAAATAACAAAGATGCTACCACTTTCCAAATGATCCGGCAACACTGTAACGCTGACAATATATTACATAGATGGAGCATGTGCCTTTATGCAAAAATCCAAATTTTCAAAAAAATCCTTTTACCGGCTCACCATAAACGTCTAACGTACCATGGCCGTGAATCACCCTGTATACTGTAGTAGTATAATGACATGTATAATACTATATTATTAAATTGACAGACACAACCGTCATTGTCATGTATCCCTCGTTGAACAGACTATACTGATCACATACTGATCAATCAATAAAAGGTTTGTCTAAAAGTGATTTATATAAGAAAAAAAAATGGTTTATTGAAACAAATATACACAATCGTATATTTGTTTTATGAAGTAATATTGTCTAATGTTCTAATTTATTCTTTTATTCAATCGAAACACTCAAGTAGAGAGTCAATTTAAGACAAACTATGAATTCCAGTATTGTTATTTATTAAAAAAACTGTAGATCGTTATAACTTTTACTGACCTCAAAATAATTATATTTAAATCAAAATAATGTCTTGTTTTTCAATCGCACGATATATCAATTATAGTAATAAGAGCATTATTTTTAAATATATGACGTAAAGATATAAATAAATATATGTATAAGTATTTCGAATCGTTAACTTTCACGTAATTAAGTAATTAAGTATTGTAAATAATTGATAAGTTGATGATATCCGCCCATTTACCTGTACTTCACAAAAAAAATATGTGTATTTCAATGTTGAATCTTTATAACGTAATTGAACTAGTTAGTGTGGTATGTATGCAACCAGCAATACGCTCAGTCCTAAAGGAAATCGTTAGCGCTGGGTGTAACATTAGTTGCATAATACGTCATCACTAATTACCTTCTAAGATTTTAATTTTAGGTATGTGTATATGCTAATCTGCACATTTAAATGTATGTTAAAAAATATATTTATTTTTTGCTAAATGAATTATGAAAGAAAGTATTAACAATTAAACTTTGTACGTGCAAATATTGTCAATATATGTTACTGAAATGTGCTAAGATTTATTAATGATGATTCTATATAGTTACTCTAATATGTCATTAACAAACCTTTTTACGTAATGAAAAATATATGATTAATTGTAAATATCCCACAACATAGTTATTATCTTGCATGTAAAGTAGATAATCATGAATGTGCCAAAATTCATTTTTTTAACAAACTTTTGTTCATTTTACCTTTTACAATATTATAATACTTGTAAAAACAGTTATTGCACAAAATATATTTAATAATTTTTAAAAAATATACCTAGCGTTTTTATTAATTTTTAAATTTTATTTTTTTGTTATTATTTTTCATAAACAGTATATCTGAATACAAAAGAAGTATATTTGTTTTTTGCAAGGACATTTTGGTAATTACCGACATTTTTAATAAACTATGATTTTGTATATTGCTAAATGTTTGTTTTATTTAAATTATAAGGAGCGATCCAAAATGATTGAAATCGTTCAACTTATGCAAACCTGTCTCTAATCTTATCGAACAATCCTTCCCATTGGGCAAACCCAAAACACCTCTCATCATTGAGTGCACCGAGACGACAACCATTCGTGTCATAAACTTTAATATTCTGATATCATTAAAAAAATAATTATATTATTTACTTTCTCGTTTGTTTTACCGCTTGTGATAACATCTAAGAAATATTTGATTTTTTTGAGTTTATTGCCAACCAAATAAACCCTAATAAACCCTTTTTATTCAAAGAATAAACCAAATCAGAATTACTAATTATTTCAGTCATTTCGGATCGCTTTGTACATTTTAAATATTTATATTTTTATTCTGTACCAAGAAATAAAATAAAAGCAAAAAATACTGTTGGATGAGTATAGGGTTCATACTTAAGAAGGTTTCATATAATTTGTTTTTCTTATTTCCCAATGTATAGCTTCTAATTTTAAGTACTACTCTGACTAAAGAAAGAATATTATTCAAGCATAACACCTGTTGGCTAAGTACGGTCCTGTTCTACGAACCATTTTACAGGTAGAAATTTGAGGGGATCATTCTTTTATAATCGGAAAAATTCTATTAAACCGCAACGATAAAACATGAAGATAGGTTCCTTTCTGGATCTCGCTGAAGATGTCGATTTTATTGTTAAAACTGCAAGTAAGTACTCATTTTAATTAAATACATTTTTTCTTCACAAATTCAAACAATGTGATATTATTTTATTATTATGACACACCGGCTAAAGCCGGCGCTGCGTGACGCTTTAGTTTTTTGAGGTTATGCGAGTTGAAATGTCACCATATCGTCGATTTGTTAAAAGAAATTGTTAAAATGAGCTCCGGTAAGGCAAGTTAACTATAATTCGAATAAATATCCTAATCAGAATGTTATTAGCAACCGAAATAGTCCAAATTTAATTACGATTTTGCGTGGTTTGTTCCTGTTTTTGTATACCCAAAAAGTGGCAGTTAATCAATACTTAAAATTCTTTTATATTCGCTCTGTATTATAATTATCATAGAGAATTAATTAAATTTGAGATGAAAATTCTTTGCCTTTTGTAATGTCTTTATACTCAAAGAAGTTTTAACCTTTTACCTTTATGTTTATTTACTTTCAATATGTAATTAAAAACTAATACATATCTTAAAAATATGTATACAATTTGAAATATAATTATGAACTTTTTATCAGTTGAACGAGACCCGAATAAGAGGAAAGTTAAACCTGTAGAGCAGGCCTGTGTGTTGGATTTCGATGAGGAAAGCAGTGATGATTCAGATTTCCGAATAGAAGACTATCAGGAAGTTAGTGACGATGATGTGGATTCAATGGACAGTGGAGGAGATGATAATGGTAATAAGACTTATTTTGTTTGTTAATATATTACTTCTACTTAAACGTAAAATATTTTAGAAGACGAAGAAGATGGAAGTAGTGATGTTGATTCGGATGATAGTGAACTTGAAAAATTGGACGAACTCAGAAACCTAAGCGTTCCAAATACCAATGGGTTTGCTGGTGCTCCCAATATCTTTGAACAAGCCATGATCCAGTACAAACAAAATGTAGGTTTTTAAGTAAAGTACAGACTTGTCTAGATACATATGAAAAAAAGTTTATATAGATATTGCATGAGACATATCCTAAAAATATTTTGTTTTGGGTGTGTCAAGGATAATGTAAATTTTCCTTAGCGGATTTATTCTGTTATCGCTATTGCTTCAACAACAACGGCTGTATTTTTTACACCCTGTATATTTGTGTTTTTTACTAAGAGTATAACGTGTTTTTTAGTATAATGAAAAAAATGCACAACTACTCATTTGTTGTGGCTGTCTAGGCGATCAAAGTGACGGTATCAATGAAATCGTTGAATGTGACAGTTGTGGAGTTACCGTCCATGAAGCTTGTTACGGTATATCAGATTCTGCAAGTTTAGCCAGGTAAATTTTACATGATTTTTATAACATTATTATATATCAATATTTTTAGCACTGATTCCCTATCTCCCACTGCCCCTTGGTTTTGTGAAGCTTGCAGAGCGGGTGTTCTTGAACCCATTTGTGAACTATGCCCCAATTCAGGTGGTATATTCAAGGAAACCGATGTAGGGAAATGGGTGCATTTGATATGTGCCCTGTACGTACCAGGGGTAGCTTTTGGAGAGGTGGACAAACTAACCAGTGTGACTCTGTTTGAAATGCCTTACAGCAAATGGGGGGCCAAAAGCTGTAGCCTGTGCACAGATGAAAGATTTGCCAGGACAGGTGTTTGTATCGGATGCGATGCTGGAATGTGTCGGACATATTTTCATGTCACTTGGTATGTTATAATTTTATACTTGGCGCTTCAAGGAGAACGACTGTTAGCATTGAAATTTTGGAAGCATGTGTAGATCAATTTATTTTGTTTTAAAATAAAAGAGTAGTAACTTGCTTTTAAAAGTGACCAATGTTCAATATTAATTTTGTCTCACTCTGTATAACTTTTCTGGTCCAATTTTAAGTTGGTTTAACGTACAGTGGTTATATTAACTAAATATCAGGCTATTCAGGGTAAATTATAATTTAGGCAGCTTTTATTGAAATTTGAAATTTATTCTTCATTTTTAGAAAATGTTTCATAGGTCAAAATCTTTACATTTTTGTCATAAGCTTCTTTAATAAAACTCACTTTTTTTTTCCTACAATCTGAAAATCAATTAATATATAGAGTGTTCCATAACAAAACACAACTTTGATGGGTAGCTTTTTTGGAACACCCTGTAGAACACCACTCTATATATTTTTAAAACATGCTCTACTACATACATATGCTCCCGAAATTTAATTTCAATACACACCGACGTTCTGCTTGGAGCTTCCGCGGTGTATGAGAGAACCACCCTGTATACGGGGTGGCCCATTAGTGCGAGGAAGTCCAATATCGTCATCGTTGTCGAAGGCACAGATGTCGAAGGTATGAAAAAAAGTTTTATACAGATGTTGCATGGTTTTATAAAGGGGCATATCCTAAAAATATTTTGTTGTATACATACAGGGTGTCTCAAAAAAGTTATAGAGTTTAAATTTTTTTTTAAATTGCGCCCCCAATTTTTCTGTACAGGGTGAGTCAACGATAGAGAAAAGTCCATTATCTCATTTGTTTCGAGGTTTAAAATAAATGTTAAATACAGAAGTTATAGGGAAGGTTAAGATACACATTTTAAAATTATTATAGAGTATACAGGGTGCTTCAAAAAAGTGTGGCTGATGTAACATATGTTTTTTTAAATGCAACACCCTATTTTTTATTTTATTTTTAGATTCTGCGTAAAATTCTATAACTTTTTTATATATAATGTTATATACCTAAAATTAATAGTTTTTGTAATATTTAAATTTGTTTAAACAAATGTTAAATTGCAGTGTGGTAAAAAATTATCAGTGGTACCATTGTTTCTGAAGTTGAAATACCAAAATTTGGTATGAGAGTTCTATAGAGATTAAAAAGAAAATATATGTTAAGATATTTTAGTTAAATGCTACAGGGTGTTCAAAATATATTTATGAATTTCAACTAATTAAAATTAAAAAATCTCAAATTTTTTAAACGGTACACCCTATGTATTTTGATTTTTTCTGATAGATTTTGCAAAGCTCTTCAACTTTTATTAAGTATGTTATATACCTATTTTTAATAATTTGCGATTTATTCCAATTTTTTCTATTTTTGCCTATATCTTTAATACAATTACGCTATAACATCATTGTTGCCATGACAAAAAATTATAATTATCAAAATTTCATATGTCTGTTAAGCAAGTTAAGAACAAAAGGTGAATTTTAGTTTAATTTGTTGTAATAAGTATAAGTGGTAGAGGTAGATATAATAGTTTCAGATTTTCCTGAAACTGGATTAGTCTGATGTGACTGATATACACGAACAAGCCAAAATAAACATATTTCTTGGTTCAGTACTATATATTATATAGTACTTTGCTAAGTACTATAAGAATAGATGTAGATTATCTAGAAAACATTTTCATATTATTATATTATAGTATTTTGAGTGTGTAATGGGGACGGTTTCGCGGCAGTAGTAATATTGGCTTTACGAAATGAATTATAAACCAGAATTACTACGGAAAAAAAAACTTTACTGTATGTCGAAGAAAAATTCAATATCAGTAGTCCTCAACAATTAGGTAATCTAGTAGTATTACCCTAATCTGTGGCTATTCGCCTGGACGGAAAATCCAAGTGTCATCTTTCATAATATAGAAATACACCAAGAAATTCACGACTACGATTTTAGTTTATTTGAGTAAAGTTAATTAATTTTAACTAATAATAATAATTGTAACTAACTATTAAACTTGTGTATTAAACTACTTGTTAAAAATAAGTAATAAATATTTTTGTTTCGTCACAGCAACTATGATATTATAGCGTAATTTTAATAAAAATTAGGGCAAAAATAGAAAAAAATTGGAATAAATCGCAAACTATTAAAAATAGGTATATGACATACTTAATAAAATTTGAAGAGCTTTGCAAAATCTATCAGAAAAAATGAAAATATATAGGGTGAACCGTTTAAAAAAATTTAAATTTTTTAATTTTAAATAGCTGAAATTCATAAATACATTTTGAACACCCTGTAGCATATAACTAAAATATCTTTAAATATATCTTTTTCCTCACCTGTATAAAACTCTCAGATCAAATTTTGGTATTCCAACATCAGAAACAATGGTACCACTGACAATTTTTATCACACTGCAATTTAACATTTGTTTAAACAAATTTAAATATTACAAAAATTATTAATTTTAGGTATATAACATTATATATAAAAAAATTCTACGCTGCTAATTTAATTCTACGCTGTGTTTGTCATAATGTTACTACATTTTATATTATTATTGTTTATATTGTTTATCTTGTATAGAGTAAGTTTTATAGCGTCGCAAACATTGCAATATTTAATTTAGATGCAGAATCAAAAAATTAACATTTTTTAATTCTAAACATTTTTAGAAAATACTTTAAATACAAATAATGTAAAGCGAAATTTCTAAACGAAAAATGATATACAGGCTGTTGCATTTAAGAAAATAGAGATATAGTATTTTAAATATTGCGATTTTGGCGATGCCGTAAAAAATACCCTGTAACAGAATAATGAAAATTTTCCTTCCCAGACTTAATTCTGTTACCCTTGATGTTTAGGAAAATATAGCTAAGTATTAATAGAGTTATATTCACTCCCTAGGTGCCCGGTGGCGTAGAGGTACAGGCTCTCGTCTACCAATCTCAAGGTTGTGGGTTCGAATCCCACACCCGGCATTTCATCAGCCGACTTTTTATTAAAATAAAAATAGTTTGGGTACCTAGGTCGACTCAGCATTAAATGAGTACTTGAGGTTCACAATCCTGAGGTAATAATAGGCGGTTGAAGCGTAGTGCTAGCCACATTACCTTCCTTGTATACCGAACGGCTCTAGCATGACAAACTGTACCTTGCTACTCCCAAGGCGTTAAGCTTGATTTTCATGCATCTGTTATCCGACGATACGATGATACGATATTAATTTTATTGGTTGAATTTAAAGCCTTCGATTGGTTAGAAACGGTTAACCAATCGAATAAAATTAATATCGTATCATCGTATCGTCGGACAACCGATGCATGAAAATCAAGCTTTAAACGCTATATACGGGAGCTATTATTATTATTATTATATTCACTCCAGTTTTTAACTATTTTAAGGACGCCCATCATAATTTTTTTTTGGGACACCCTCTATACAACAAAATGGTTTAAGCTCCTTTATAAGTCATGCAACATCTGTAGGTATATAACATTTTTTCATATTTTTGTCAACAACGACGATTTTCGACTACCTCGCACTAATGGTCCAACCGATATATTTTTTTTAATTTAATTATTTTTTTATTCTAGTGCTCAAAGGGAGGGCTTCCTCTCTGAGGCACACTCAGAAGAGGTGGATCAGGCTGATCCTTTTTATGCTCATTGCAAAGCCCATTCCGACAAGACTTTAGTGAAGAAAAGAAAAAGAAACTACCTAGCGCTACAGTTGAGGATGCATTACAGGAAACTGCAGTTCGAGAAGGAGGGGCATAGGGAAAGTCCGGAGCAAGTGCGGATACAGAGGAAACTGGAGAAGCAGAAACTCCACTATTTGGAGTATAAAAGGAGGAAACCGCCACCATGGGGTCAGTTATTAATTTAAAATTATTAAATCATATTAGGTCATAGGAGCAAAGACATCTAACTTAAGGAGAGACACAACATTCCATTTGTAAAACATCATGTATTTACAATCAGACATACTTTAGCACTTTTACATAACTTAAAAAGAGATAGGTGCATAAATATGGCAACGCTGTTGAATTTTAGTCTTGTGCACTTCAGTCTTTTCAGTCTACAAGCGGCGTGCTGTTTTTTTATCAACAGTAATTGTCAAAAGTAATTGTAATTTAAATTTTGATTTATAATATACCCATCTGGTCATCAAAACTCTGTGCTCTGGATTTTACCGTGTAAGACAGTGATTTAGACAGCTTAAACGAAAAATCAAATGTATTAAAAAGAGATAAAAGTTGGTTTGATACATTTCTTCTACGCGGCGTTGTCGGATTTTGCACCAAAATTTCAAACCGCCCAAGTAGGCGTTTATGAAAAATGTTGCATCTAGGCTTGGAACTAGGGTTGGAAATGCTCAAGGTAACAATTAGTTACTCATTTTACTACAGCTGTAATAGATTATATTTAGCTTAGATATATTATATATTATTTATTTCAGTAGTTTTACAATTTTTAAAATAGTTTATTTTTTTCTATACATATTTTCCTACAAACTTAAAAACCGGCAACACTGTATGCCGCTTTTTATTTTGTCTCTCTGTCAACCGATCATTTATATTTATCTGTTGCATGCATTAAAATATAAATCACGCAGATGAAGTAACCTGACCTAGTGTGTACAGTATATCCCCGGATTGTCTGTACAGGGTGGTCGAAATTGGTCTGTTTTAACAGAGAAAACCTATTTTCTGACTAGATAGAGCAAAACCGCCATAGATGACATGGGCTCGATTTCTGACACACGTTTAATGACATTAACCGCCTGTTGATATTTTCACTGCCAACTGAGAATGTCTTTTGGAATTTTTTACCATTTGGAAAATTTCCCATAACTTTTGTATTTCACGAAATAATTAAAAACGTTCTTAAGGCACTTTTTTAAGCACAATCCAATGGCGTAGTCAGTTTTTTTCTATACTTGCTCCTTTTGTCAGAAATAATAAAAAATATAATATTTTAAATGGAAATCATAGTTGGCTATGAACTTAAAAAAAGGCTGGCGTTTAACGTTTTCAACAATATAAAGTTATAGGTATTTATTTCTAAGAATGAGAGAAATATTAGGTTTTTTATCTTTGTATGGAAGCGGCCCTTGATTTTGTGTTGACCTAGTTGCCTAATTATTTTTTATCACACTTTAAATTTCTATATTATTATTTATTCGCATAATTAAAGACTTACAAGAGGAAATTTTTTTTATTGTTAATATTTTGAGAAAAAATCATTCTTTATCAAAATGTTTGCTTGTTTTAATATGTTTAATTTCATTTGTAATTTTAGAAATTTGCATACTGTTTTGGAGAAAATTAAAATACATGCAGATATGTTTGAATTTTTTCCCAACCCCCAACTGTAATCTATTATATGGTGATAATAAACTTTATCCTTGACGCACCCTGTATTTTCAGTTCCGACTCAGAAAATGCCGAGACTGATAACGACAAGCGCGTCGGCATGTCGAAAACTTCTACGCAAAGCCGAGCTAATAGGCGTCGACACTTTAGCTTTGGAAATGCACGATGCTCAGTTGGCTGTGCTGGCAGACATCAGGAAAAAATGGCATATTCCGCCGGCATTCACCGTCGAGTTTATCGCTTATTATTTGGACAGGAACGACCGTCTCAAGGACATGAAAGTCATGTTGGAATCCTTGATGGCTAACAACAAAACTTTGCTGGACGAGCAACAGAAACTTAGAGCACAATATGACGAGGTAACTTTTAATATTACATCAATACAATATCAAATATATAATAGCAAGTGTTAATACTGTATAATAGTATAATCGAAAAAAACGGCGGCCAAATGACGATCGATGACATTCCTTATATAATTTTACGTATAAAATGACGACGATGTTTATTTCGTAGCCATCGCTAACGCCGTTTTTTTTTCTCGATCATATTGCATTACATCAATACATTATCAAATGTCAGAAGTAAATTATACATAAATTATGACATATATAAATTATATGATCATATATAATTTATGTGATGATCATATGAAGACTTGAAGTAAATAATGTTCTATGTGCCAGGGCTATTAAATTATACTGAAAAAAATTCTCAACAGAGACCGCCCCTTCTTATACATTGGTTATATAACAAAAAAATGTTTGGTACTTAGAGCATTTGTTGTTTTTTCAAGTCTTCATATATAAAATATCGTATAAATTACATCATATGATGTAATATAATTTATATGTGCAATTTTTATATGTGATGATCATATATAATTTATATATGGTCATTATATATCGATCTGGTCATCGAAACTGCGTGGTCTGGATTTTAACGTGTAAGACAGTGATATGAAATCAAATGTATTAAAAGGAGATAAAAGTTGAGTTGATACAATTTTTCTGTGCGGTATTGCCGGATTTTTCATCAAAATCTAAAACCGCACAAGTAGGCGTTTAGGAAAAATGTTGCATCTATGGTTGGAACTTTATTTTTCACAGTTTGTTACCCATTTTTCTACAGCTGTAATAGATTATATTTAGCTTAGATATATTATCTTCATTTCAGTAGTACCTATACATGAAAGTTTTTAAAGTAGCTTATTTTTTTCTACACACGTTTTCCTACAAACGTAAAAACGGCCATCACTGTATGCCGCTTTTTACTTTGTCTCTCTGTCTGTCAACCGGTCATTTATATTTATCTTTGTCGCATGCATTAAAATACAACCCACGCAGATGAAGTGACCAAGGGGCGCTATTCTGTACAATCGTCGGTATCGGCAAGTTACCGACAGCTATCGGTACGTATGGCCAATGAGCATCGTGTTGATTGTTGTTGTCATAGTTACTGATCGGCCCTATGACAGATATCGGTATACCGACGACTCTCGGTATCTCTACCGTGAGGTTGACAAGGGCACGGTAGAGATACCGATTTTCGTCGGTACAAATTTGCGATATCTGCCATAGGACCGATCGGTAACTATGACAACAACAATTAACACATTTTAGCGCCCCAGGCTAGTATGAGAATGTCATATATAAATTATACAGGGTGGTCCAAACTGTATTCCGGAAACTTCGGCAGCATATTCTGCAGATAAAAATAAGTAAAAAAGTTCGTATAAATGTATGTCCTAAAATGCTTAGTTTCGGAGATACAGGGTGTAGAAGTTTCATTTTTATTTCGATTTTTTCCAAATAATTTCTGAAGTAACGTCAATATTTGGCTAAAAATTGGTGTCTGGGAGTTTTTTGACATGAAAAATTTGATTTCGATGTCAATATGACTCCTATTAGTAGAGGGTGCCACCTACATATTTTTTAACTGGATTGAAGAGTAATAACTTTTTGTCCGTACCTGTATAAAACTACTGAGTAAAAAAATATACATTTACGACGTTTTTTACGTGAAAAAGGTCTCTCGGTAAAAATCGCTACGAGTAATGGTTTTCGAGATATTTGGAATCGAAATTATCAATACCTGTCATCATTGACATAAATTAAACATGTTGACTAAATAGTTATTAGACTGAAATCATAAATTTGAAATGTTTTTGTGCTAAAAGTTCAACAGAAACTGTTTTATCATCATTTTTTGCAAAAAAATTTATGATTAATTTAAAAAAACTAAACATTTCCCAAATTTATTAAATAACTATCTACTCAACCTGTTTATTTTTCGTCAATAATGACATGTATTGACTATGTCCATTCTAAATATCTTAAGAACGGTTGCTCGGAGCGATTTTTACAAAGAGATATTTTTTACGTAAAAAGTCACAGAGATGTATATTTTTTCGTTCGATAGTTTTATACAGGTACGGGCAAAAAGTTATTATGCTTTAAAATAGTTAAAACACATGTAGGTGGCGCTCTCTAGTAGTAGGAGTCATATTGACATCAAAATCAAATTTCTCATGTCAAAAAACTCCTAGACACACAATTTTCATCGAGATATTGACGTTACTTCAGAAATTATATAGAAAAAGTCGAAATAAAAATGAAACTTCTACACCCTGTATCTCTGAAACTAAGCATTTTAGGACATACAATTATACGAACTTTTTTACTTATTTTTATCTGCAGAATATGCTGCCGAAGTTTCCGGAATACAGTTCGGACCACCCTATATATGATGTCATACAAAATTATATAATATAGCAAATCGTACGATAAGTCGGATGAAATATCGGACATTTATTTAGAAACGCCCTGTGTATGTATAGATTTTGAAAAAGAGTACGGACGTGAACGCCAAGAGCCTCGAACTGAAAACAACGATTCACAAGTACCACTCCGCGATCTTGAGCGCGTGCCCCACGAAAAATCTGCCCAACATCGAGGACCTGGGTAAACCGCCGGTTGCCCGGGCACCCCAACCCATGCTGGTGCCCACCGCGGCGGCTTTAAAAATGGGCGTCGGGTTTCCCCTGAAAAATATACCCAGCGGCAGAGCTGACAGGATTCTTAGTAACCAAGCCAAAGCCACAGGTGAGAATATAATATGTATTATTTTATTTATAACTATTCTAGATCATATACAGGGTGGTCCGAATTGTATTCGAGAAACTTGAGCTATACAGGGTTATACCGCATACGACACGGGGTATTGTAGCTAAACAATTAGATTTTTGCAAATTGTCAGTTATAAGTTTTGGGTTTGTTGAAGGACTATTAGTGCTACGATTTATAAATATTTTTACAAGATACAGAGTGTCCCAAATAAATAAAAAATATCAAAGTTGTATTTTTTATGTATATTTTGCCGATTTTGAAATATTTAGGTTTTTGTCAAAATACAGTAATAATTTTCATGCTTCATTTCTCTAGGCGCATTTAAGTTTTGAAAACCAAATATTTTACTGAACTATTTCTATTCAAATGTTGTGTTGCAATAATAAAAATTATACTACCTTATACAGAGTGTCTAAAAATTTATTTTAAATAATTACTAGCTTTAAACGGCAATAACTTGTTTAATTTAAATGGAACACCTTGTATGAGTATCATATTATATATAATATATTGTATGAGAATCAGATGCACAATTTAATTATATGTCAAATTATACCATTTTTTACATATCTCTTCAAGTTTTCGTAGAAACTGCATTTTCTTATGATTTAGACCTCATTTATCAATATACTATCTATGCTAAATAATTTCGTAAGAAAATGCATTTTCTACGAAAACTTGAAGGGATAGATAAAACATTTTATAATACTATTTGATAGACAATTAAATTGTGCATCTGATTGTCCTAAAATATACAGGGTGTTCCATTTAAATTAAAGAATTTATTGCCGTTTAAAGTTAGAAATTATTTAAAATAATTTTTTAGACACTCTGTATGAGGTAGTATTATTTTTATTATTGCAACACAATAACTGATCAATTAATAAACTTCAGTAAATATTTAGTATTAAAAACTTTGTTATCCTTGGAGAAATGGAGCCTTAAAATTTTTACTCCAATTTCATAAAATTGAAAATATTTCAAAAAAGGTAAGGTTTAAGTGTGATAAACCTGAATCAAATTTACCTTCATTTCAATTGTAGAATCTGAAAATAGAATAATATACAAGGTGTTCCATTTAAAAAAGTACAACTATAATATTTAACTCGTTTATCTTGTAAAAATATTTTGAATTGTAGCTCTAATATTCCTTTAACGAACCCAAAATTTACAATTTGTAAAAATCTAATGTTTAGCTACAATACTCCATATCGTATGCGATGAATAACCCTGTATATTCTGCAGATAAAAATAAGTAAATGTATGTTTTAAAATGTTCCATTTCGGAGATTCAGAGTATAGAAATTTAATTTTATTTATTTCTTATATACAAGCTTTTTTACTTATTTCTATCTGGAGAATATGCTGTTTACAAAAAAATACACCCTGTTTATAGGAAAATCAGCAAAAGTTGATCTAGTGTATTACTATTATGTATAAACATTATTTGACAGAACCGCTGCAGCTGAACGAGTGCGGCATCTGCAGGCAACGCCGGGATCAACACCTGTTGGCCAAGTGTGACACCTGTCACTTGTACTACCACTTGAATTGCCTGAACCCGCCACTGTCTCGCTTACCGAAAAAATCGAAGCTCTACGGCTGGCAGTGCTCGGAATGCGATAAAACATCGGACTCTGAAGTCGAAGAGGTTAAGGTAAGGTACAAATTAGAGATGGGTAAATCCGGTATTTTAAAAGAGTGATTACATCAAGCTTCACGGACCTACATCCAGGTTCCAGTTCTGCCGGATCTATATCAGTCTAACATTTAATTATTTTAATTTAGCTAAACATTGTTTTGCACGAAGCAATCCGCGTTCAAAAGTTTTGTAGTCCGTTAGGGAAATCTGATGATTGTATTTTGCCAAGTCTTTATCGCCTGATCTTAGATGTTTAAACTTAACATTCAAATGTATGACTTTGGGGGAAAGCGAGAACTTTACATACTAATAAAAAAAGTCGAGACACAATTCCAGCCTTCCATGAAAACTGCCGCATAGTGATTGCTAGAAACACCCTGTATATTTTGTAACGTTATTTCGTGTAGACGCCCAGGAGAAGCCGCAGCGTCTACAGCAGAGAAAATCGCTCGGAATCCTCTACGCCACTGTCTCCCAAACTGAAAATCAAACCGGTGGAACCCCAAGAAGCGATGACGTCACCAGAAAATAGTCCTCCCATAGAAAAATCGAGGAAGATCAGGAGACACTCTTCTGCTACGGAGAATGAACAGAAACCTAAAAAAGGTAATTTTCTTTGTTTTTTTTAAGTATTTTAATGTTTTACTTCAATACTCGTTTGGATGAAAGTATAATCATTATTCTGCTTCATTGGTTTTGACTCGCTTGGATAATTTCGTCACCCTTCGTCGGTACCAACCGAGCGCCTATATAAATTATCTCACTTCGCTCAATTTGTGGACATTAGTTTAATTTTAATCATCTGCTGATGAAGCTAACATTGTTAGCGCGGTTTCGAAAAATCTGATCATTGATTAATCACGATCCGGCTTAAAGCGCTTGACGTAAAAAGCTGATTTTTGGAAAACAGATTGACTTTAGGGTGTAGAGGTTCGATAAGAAGGGATTTTTCGAAACTCGAATTCTAAGAGGGTGAAACTATCCCTCAAATATTAAAATATTTTTTATTTAAAAACCGGTGAGTTTTTCGGAAAAACTCTTAAACACGTATATTTTATTTTGTTGTTTTACATATTTTAAATTTTTTTATAAATTTATACGGGGTGTTTAAACTGATTGACGTTTAAAGCTGATTTTTGGCAAACGGATTGACTGTGGGGTGTGGAGGTTCGATAAGTAGGGGTTTCTCGAATCTCAAATTCCAAGAGGGTGAAAACTCCCCTCAAATATTACAATATTTGTTATTTAATAAACGGTTAGTCTTTCGGGAAAACGCTTGGACAAGCATAATTTATTTGTTTTTTTTTACATATTTTGAAATTTTTTAAAAAATCATACAGGGTGTTCCAAAAAGTTGGGTAATTTCTTAACCACGATTCTGCTTAAACTGCTTGACGTAAAAAGCTTATTTTTGGTAAACGGATTTTTCGAAAGTCAAATTCCAACGAGATGAAACTACTCCTCAAATATTACCAAGTTATATAATAATATCGCCATATTGTTTTTTCTCATGCTGACATAAATGTGAGAAAATTTTATCCAGTTTGTATGTTAATGGAAATTCTTGCTTTGCTTTATGATCACCATTACAAATGATTAATTCGACGCGAACGAAGTCGCTGGTACACGCTAGTAAAGCCTATAAAGTTTAATTGAAACCACTAATGTATTCCACTAATTTCGAGGTTCTGAATGAACCTCTTACACCGCTTAGCGGTTAATGATACCAATCATTTATTATTATTTTAAAATATTCATTGAAGAGAGAAAACATCAATCGACAAGCGAAAGTAACGCAGACCATCACCTCATCAGCGACGATAATGTTTTGAGAGATACGGCCTTAGGATCGCCTGGAATCAACGACATAGAAGTTATTCTGGATAATGGCGTAGTTGACGCGCACGAAGGGCACAAATCTGCTAAAAAACGACGGCGGGAGAAACACAGAAATCGGTATTATTCTCTAGTAAATAATATTTTTTTTTTTTCAAACGTCACAAAAGTATTTTTTTGCAACGCGATTGACAATATAAAAAATACATTTTAACGCCTAGGCATAAAAATAAATCTCTTTTACCCCTAAGCACAAAAGTACGAAAATATATTATTGAACTGACATAAAGTGTCAAATTCAACTAGTGTAACCATAGTTTCTCGATATATAATTACTTACAAGGTATAACAAGTATACAACGTTTGAAATTTCTTTATAAAACTATTTGTGACGTTTGAAAAAAAATAGCATGTTCTGTTGGTGTAAAAATGACTTTTTGTGCCTCGTTTGTAATGTCAAACGTACAGCCTCCCCACAAAAAGCATCATTTTTACTCCTAATAAACAATATACTATAAGATCGGAAAAAAACTTTTCCTCGACCATACAGTATGTAACATTTTATTCTTATTATTTTATTATAGTAGGGGAGCCCAAGGTGCTAAATGGGGATTTACTCGAGCGTCGTGCGGACCTATTGGATAGTGAAAATTTGATGCTATAAAGAAAACATGGTTATACGATGTATGCTCTTTTACTGGTGGGGGACCGTGTACAGGTTTTCAAAAATGTAAAAAAAAAGTCACAAACACTTGGGCGTTTCAGATATTAATAGTGCACGCACCCCACGTGTTTCTGATAACGGTCTGCCGGTTTGCATGGTAGGGTGGCCATACGAAGGGATAGAAAATGAGGGAAAAAATATTCGAGCGCGTCCGGTATTCAAAAGGGATATTAAGTGAACCATAAAGACGCTCCTGTTCAAAAGCCTGACGATTTGGACGCGACCAAAAACTCATAGCAGATTTTTTTAAAATGCATTTCTCAGCACCACACTTTATTGACGATTTTAATTACTTCAGTTCCTACGATTCTTGAATGCTTTCTTTCAAAATAAAAAAAAATCTGACTCCTATTTCTATGTCACGCTTAAATCCTCAGATTATTTGAATGCACACTTGTAAGATTATTTGAATGTACACATGTAACTAACTCAGTTTGCCTTAATCTGATGGGCTCTAGTTTTTCTAACGATCAATTTTTTGCCACTCTCTCTCGGCTGCCTTACACGCACTACTCTGTAAAAAAGGTTCGTGTATGGTGGGGGTAGAATTTAGAATTTAGAATGAGTGGGAGGGGGGTTAATCACTGCGACCTTACAGATCTATTGTGTCCCCCTTTCTTGAGTTATAACTCATCATACAGTCCCAGGGCTTTGACAAAAGCCAGTATCTGGGACGGTTTTATAGAGGGTAGTTCTCCATCTCCAAGATCAGTCGTACCAAAATTCATGGCACGAATGGTTGTCGTCTCGGCGCACTCAGTGATGAGGTGTACTGTGTTTCCTCATTTTCCCCACAGAATCTGCATTCGCCGTTTCTTCTTAGTTTCAATCTACTGAGGTGTTAATTGAGGAGACAGTGTCCTGTTAAAAACCCCGTGACAATCCGAAGATTGTTCTTACTTAAACCCAGGAAGATCTGTGATTTTTCTTAATCATAAGCCCTCAGAAACTTCTTCGAGTGTCTTAGACCGTTGCAAGATTCCCACTCCAGGTTGCGGACGGAATCTTCCAAGTTTTTGAGTTCCGCCTTGAGTTGATTACCACTTGGAAAGCAGAACGGTTCTGGTCCAGTTAGTGGAGTGTTCGCTCCTTTTCTAGCTAGATCATTTGCTTTTTCATTGCCTTCTATCCCTTGGTGAGCAGGCACCCAGAGTAGGAGGACTTTGTTTTCTTTGCCTAATTTATTCAGCTTCTCTATGCATTCTTTGACCAATTTCGAATTGATTGATACTGAGTTGATCGCTTTTAACGCTGCTTGACTATCAGACAAGATGGTTATTTCTTGTTTGCGATAGTTCCTATCTAAGATAAGTTGTACGCATCTTTCGATAGCGTAGATTTCTGCCTGTAGGATACTAGGGTAAGTGCCCATTGGTTCAGTTAAAAGACCATACCATAACTTGGTATACTGATGCTTCCAAAACCAATACGGGAACAGGGATCGGAGTATTTGGGTCGAGAGCTAAATACTCCGATCCCTGTTCCCGTATTGGTTTTGGAAGCATTAGTATACCAAGTTATGGTATGGTCTTTTAACTGCTGGGCAAGTGTTTCGCTCTTCCAATCCTTTTTATTGCTCAATACTACATTGAGATGTTTCTCAACGTTGTACGTTCTTGGCATATCGTCCACTGGGAGTTGCAGGAGTGGTATTTCCTTTTTGAGGGTGTTCCAAGCCCCTGTTCTGACAATTCTCCCAGTACTTATTCCGTTAGTGACCATTCTAATCATTGTCGCATTGGCATATCTACCAATGACAATGTGCAGTGGTGTTAGATCTAGAATGACCTCCATTACTGCTGTTGGACAGGTTCTCATGGCTCCTGTGATGCAAACGCATGCTAGTCTCTGGACTTTGCACAGGTTTAGCCTTGCCGTCCGTTGCTCAGTTTTGTGTACCAGGCAACTGCTCCATAAGTAATCATGGGTCTTACTATCATGGTATACATCCAGCGCAAAATGTTAGGGGAGCAGCCCCATCTATTTCCGGCCAGTCTTCTGCATATCATGAGAGCCTTTATGGCTTTGCTGGTAGTGTTCTTAATATGCCTGTTCCACAGGAGTTTACTGTCCAGGGTTATTCCCAGGTATTTAACTTCCTGTGTTGGCAGTATTTCCTTTCCATCTAGTTGGATTCTTTTCAAGTTTTTCAGACTTCGCCTTCTGGTGAATGGCACTATCGCGGTTTTGTCTGAGTTGATACTCAGCCCGACAGTCCTACACCATCTCTCAGTGATACGGAGTCCTCTTTGGATAATATCACACAAGGTGCCTTCATGTTTCCCCCGAGCGATCATGACTATGTCATCTGCATACCCAATGCAGTGTATTCCCGCTAGAGTTAATTCATCTAGTAGTTCATCCACCACCAAGCTCCACAGCAAAGGGGAGGTTACTCCACCTTGTGGAGTTCCTTGCGTTGTTTTAACAGCTACAGTTTTGGTGCCCATCTGAGCCTCTGCTGTTCGTGTTGACAGCATTTCCCAAAACCAGCGAATAATAGTTCTGTTCACCCCTCTTGTTTCTAGAGATCGCCTGACCACCTTATGTGGTATATTGTCAAACGCCCCCGCAATATCCAAGAAGGCACAAATTGCTGTTTCTTTGCTATCCAGACTTGTCTGTATTAGCTCCGTTAATTGGTACAGAGCAGTTTCTGTGGATCTGCCCGTTCTATATGCATGCTGACTATCATGCAGTGGTTTAACCTTTAGATGATTTTCTCCAATATGGTGTCAACTACTTTCTCCAGCGTTTTTAGTATGAACGATGTGAGACTAATAGGCCTAAATGACTTGGGATTTGTCCAGTCAGTTTTGTCTATTTTGGGTATGAAGATTACTTTTGCTCTTCTCCATGTGGTTGGTATATATCCCATCGCTAGACTGCTTCTTGTAATGCTTAGTAGATGGTGAGTAGCTATTTGCTGACCTTCCTTTAGAAGGGCAGGAAAGGTCCCATCTACTCCTGCTGCTTTATAGGGCTGAAAGGTGTCGATCGCCCATTTCAGTTTTTGTTCTGTTATTACTAGCTTGGCCACTTCCCAATCTTCCCTGCAAGGATTGTGGGGTTCAGTGGGAGCTACATGAGTATCAATAGGTATGCTACCTGGAAAGTGTATATAAAGTAGGAGATTTGCTCTCTCTTCCTCTCCCTCCGTGTAGCTTCCGTCAGATTTCTTAAGTGCCATGTTGAGGATAGATCCACTCTTGGCCATAGCTTTATGTAATCTAGCTGCATCAGGAGTAGAAGTGATGTTTTCGCAAAAGGATCTAAAGTCAGACCGCTTTGCTCTTCTTATCTCATTATACTCAGTTAATTTCTCGCTGTAGAGCTGCCATTCGGCACTGGATTTAGCTCTATTAAAGAGTCGGCGGACCTCCGATCTAAGATTGGCCAACTTCTTGTTCCACCAGGGCTTGTTGTTACTTTTTTGTATGCCTTTACTTGCGGGGCAACTAGATTCGTATGCATCCAATATTGCACCGCTGACTTCCCTTTCGTACCATTCTAGATGCAGATGGTTTCTGGCCCTACTTGCATCTATACGGTTTAGGTTGTCTACGAGATTGGTGTTATATATGTCCCAGTCTGTTTTTCTTGGATTCCTTCGAGTTTCTGTTTGGAGTGTGATTTCTCCTAATTTGAACTCGATGATTCTGTGATCTGATAGGGAGAGTTCCGTTGAGACCCTCCAGTGTTTCACGTAACTGATTACACTAGCACTCCCGATTGTTAAATCTAATACTTCTGCCCGCTTTTTTGTCACGAACGTGAGGCTGTTCCCTACATTGAGTACTTCAAGATTGTATGCTAAGAGGAATTCAAGTAAACACTCACCTCTAGTGTTAGTGTTAGTGCTTCCCCATACCTCATTGTGTGTATTGGAGTCGCATCCCAATAGCAGAGGTAGTCGCCATTGGCTGCAGAATCGCACGAGCTCCCGTACCTCCGGAGGCGGTGTCCAGGGTTCGGAAAACTACATGTTACTTTTAAAAACTACATAAACTACATTACATGTAGTTAATGTAGCTTATGTAGAGGGTGTAGTTTATGTAACATATGTATGTAACTTTCAAATGTCAAAGGTTTGAGGTGAGGTTATAATAATTTGAAGCTTGAGAAAACATATAATGTATTTAAGAAAACAGAAGAAATATGGCTTTAAATATAACCATTCACATCATATTATTTAGACTCCTCATACAAAGCAAAATTATTCATAATATCAATAGGTAGTTTATTAACGTAGTTTTCATGTAGTTAATGAACGGGAAAAGACGTAGTTTTTGAAGAAAAACTACACGTAGTTAATCAGGTAAACTACGTCTTAATTAACTACTTCCGAACCCTGGCGGTGTCTCCCCGTCACCCGGAAAGTAAGCAGAGGCAATCACGATGTTTTTACTGCAATCCTCGATATTAAGCTGAACCATGATAGGAACAAGATCTCGGGTTGTAAATTCTGAAACACATGTGTAGTTAATGTCCTTTCTTATAAGAATACAGGCTCGGGGAAATTCCTGCCTGTTATCATTATATTACCTTTTTTTTATTTTGAATTTTTTCCTGACAAACCTCTAATTTGTCCCTGATGGTGGGGGTACTTAACAGGGTGGTTTCACTCATTACGTTATTCTGCCGCGCTTGAGTAAATCCCAAAATCCCCGCTTGGGCTTCCCGTCTATTCTAAACATAACCTAAAATATATATGTAGGTACAGCCCTGAACTAGGTTTGTCTGTCAAGGAGCACAAAAGGAAACGCAAGAAAAGAAGCTTAGATATAGAAGAGAACCTTCCCCATCCTAGAATAACTATTAAGGTAAAGACCGTATATGAAAACCAATAATAATTGGCGTACACATCATCAAAATATTTGCTTAATGTACGACACAATGTTGCCACGGCTACCTTTTTACTTCGACTTAATAAAATTCGTATTTTTTACTTCAATTTTAGACACAATACAATTACATTTTATATACACTATTCCGTTGTCTATGGTTATCAGGCAAGCAAGTTAAAATTTAAAAAGTTATTAGCAAGTTTTTTGAATAACAGCTGAAAAATGCAAAGTTAAAAGGATAGACTTATGCAAGATTGATATTCCTATTTCTTTTCTTTGGCTTCACTTTCCACTCATTGTGTAAATGCGGTACTAGCAATATAGTCTTATAATATATTTGATATTTTTACACGTTTTGAATAAAATTAGAACGGCACTGATAAACAGGAATTTAAGTCGGCCATTTGAGTCCCGTCGCGGTCGATCTAAAATTTTTGATATGCTCTTTCCTTAATCTTTTTATATAGAAGATACGCACGCCATACTTAAATCCGTCCTTGGTGATTATCACATGTGCGCATGCCGAGACATCCTAATTTAAAACGGCGGAAAGTAACGCCTGGCGATAGCAGTTCTGCAAGAGCACCTGTGGCTCCCTGGCTGAGGCCAATGCTTCGTGAGCGAATGGTTCGTGGTTCAAATCTCACGCCGGCGCGCCGGACCAAAACTTGTTATATTTTTTTTGCTTATAGCGTGATTTGATTGCATTGGTTTCATTTTTCACTCTTTTTGGTTAGATTGGTTCAGTTATTTGGCGGGTTGGTTAGCGTGGTTATTTGGGGGGTGTTAATTCTTTGGTTAGTTGGTTATTTGGTGGTGTTGGTTGGTTTTTACTAATTTATATTTGTTTTTTAGATATTCATTGATTTTCTTTATTTGTTTGTAATAAATATATATAGTACGCCAAAGCTGTCTGCATCCGCTTTTGTCAAAAACTCTAACGTGATTGGTCAAGCTTAATAGTTGCCTTGCTGGGGCTAGACACAAGTAAAAATTAAACATTATAAATTAAGATAAACTTGAAACCTGCGCGAAGCCTTCGAATCGATGCAGACCGCACGGTCGCTAGATTCTTGTATCATTGCTGCATGTGCGCACAAGGCAATAATCATAAAGGACAGAAATTAGTATGGCGCGCGTATCTTCTTGTTCTTTTTATTCAAAGGCACACATCTTTGAATAAAAAGATTAAGAAAGGAGTATAATGCTATCTATACAGGGTGTCCCAGAAATAATTGCGAGTATTTTAAGGGGTGGTAGATCTCGATAAAAGAAACATATTTTCCCTTTATCGTTTTTCAAATAAGTCCAAAATAACAGAATTATTTTACTTTGAAAATTTCCAAAATAGATGTTTTTTTAAAGAGATGTTAAAATTTTGATTTAAAAGATGTTAAAATTTTGATTTTCTTTCTTGTAAATTTAATCTACTACCTATGTTGCCATATTATCAAGAAATTATGTTTTTTAATTAAAAACTGAAAAAATTTCCAAAATTTTTTTTTCAAAAATTCCGAATTTTAAAATTTTTTTTCGTGAAAAAAACCTCATAGGCATGTTTCTGGGGTTGAATTATACTACCAGTTAAAATACTTGCACTTATTTCTGGGACACCCTGTATATTCATGCATGATCGACGGAAAGAGGGTCCTAGGGTAAGGATCTTTGACAGTTTTAAACACATTTGAATTTGATTTGAAATTTTGTGGATTAGTCAGTCTTTACTGAGCTTTTTATGTTATTTATTATTTATTCCACTACTGATAGTTGTTTAGAGGTAGTAAATCTAGAAGGATTTTTTGTGACATAATTTAAATTAACAATAACCTTGTGATGACCTTAATTAGCACTTTATTTTTTGTGTGTTGCTGTTTCCACAGATCAAACCTATACCGCTGCCGGCTGGAGAAGTTGCTTCCGAATCCAACCCTCAGTGTTTTACGTCCCCAATGATGCCGACGACAACGGTCCACCTCCACTCCCGCCTAAACAAGCAGCCCCTAGTCGAAAAATATCCACCGAACTAAGAAAAACTAGAAAGAGCCACAGCCCGAGGTACGTCTTAAAATTATTATTTACCGTGCTACTGTATAGTCTTTCTGATCTTTTTTGAAACAGCACTAAATATGTGGTCTACTCAAATAACTTCATCAGGAATTAAAATAAAATAGCAAAAGTTTAGTATCGCCAAACAATTTTCGATGCACGTGTGGCAACAGCGCTGCCAGATTGTGATGGATTTATGAGATCAATATTTTAGTAATTAATTAATTTATTTGTTTTATAGTTTATTAACAGCCTGTGAAATTGCACTCACCTAAAATAATTATTTTTCTTGGTTTTTTTAAATGGAACACCCTGTATATTATTTCTTTGTTATGTAATACATAGATAAATAAAACAAATTTAGATTGGAAAGTGCCCATAAGGACAATGTAAACACTATTTGGTGCTTTTCTTGCAACGGTCGCAACCCAAAGCTTTTGAAAATTTCGGAGCGGTTCGGCTTTTTCCGGAATTATATAGCCAAATATTGTTTATTCAAATTTATTATTATTTTCATTTAATTTTATTAATAAAATACAGTATGTTGCATACAAGAAACTTTATTTTATATAAGGACATGTATGAAATACCTATGAAACATTGGAAACCGACGTTATGCCACGATTCACGATGGTTTTTGCAGTTCACAGCACAGCTTTTTAGGTTTTTAATGCCACTTTTTCACAATTATCACGGGTTTGAGTAAATAAAACTTAAACTCAGAAGATAGTAATAATTACTTTGAAAATGGACGCTTTAAACACTTTTCGGAATTTTTTCAATGATAGCGATTAAGATTTTGAAGATTCTGACTTTGACAAGACATGTGGACAAGAGAAAATTATTTCTCTTGTTGTTTGCGGTTGTTCTTAGCAACCGCTATAGCAGCGCCAGATCGCGTACAACGGTCGCGACCCAAAATGTTGACGAGCATTCCAATCTAAATTTATTTCCTTTATCTATGATGTAATATAACACTACGACTATCTGCCAAACCGTGATTGCACTAATTTCCAATTAATTTATATATAATATTTGGACGCCCTGTATTATTTAACTCATTTATTTAACTCGCTAACTTAAAAACATTTCAGGACATCGTTATCGGATCCCCTGGCAGTACCACTGAGAGATCCTCTAGAAATTGTACCGCATAGCAGACCAAGTCGGTCTAGCGGTTTATCCAGGCCTAAAATTCCCGGAGTCATCACAGTTTTGAGTCACAGCTGTGACGTATGTAGACAGGATGCTACTAATACCGATTCAGTCAAGTAAGAACCAAAAAAATGTTTCCTCTCTCTTATTTTATCACACTTTTTATTATCGAAATTGTGTTCGAGATCTAGCTAACCTATATTTTTATTTATTTTTACGAGATATTTATTTATATCTTAGAAAATCTTCTGGTTGAATCTAATTTGTACATGCCTAAAACTAGGGTTCTTAAATGTTTTCGATATTAATATTCGACATGTTGAATGTGACTGTTTATAAATGTTATATAAAATATGCTTTTTTATATACCAAACCATAAGTTACTATTTTTGTAAGAATAATCTGAGAACACATTTTTTTTCCGTATAGGTGCGACGAATGTCAAAAATTATATCATTTCTCTTGCTTGGACCCTCCATTGAAGTCATCACCTAAGAAAAGAGGTTATTCTTGGCATTGTGCCGATTGTGATCCTACCGTAAGTATCTGTAGAGAAATTCACAAAAAAGAGTTAAAACAAACCAAAAACAAACTCACTAGTAAGTTTATCCATTTTTGTTTCAGGCCTCTGAATAAATAGTCTAAACGGATATTCTCAACACTTTTTCAATTAGCTGTTAATTATTTACATTAGCATTAAATGTGTAATAATACGCGTAAAATAAACATTTATACATATTTTGATTTATATTCTTTTATTTGTTAAGACTTTTAAACTGAGATTAAGACTATTGATATTTTCATTGACCTACCTAGTAAAAAAACATTTTTTACTTGCTTGTCCTTGAGTACAGTGTATTCATGACATTTTTACACTTATGGGATTAAGAGAAGTTTCAAATAAAATTTGATTTCAAATTATGCGAATTTGTTACGTTTTTCTGGGCTTATTTTATCTTATTTATTATATAACATATGTAGAAAAGCTCACGAAAGGAAACTCCTTGCATAACCATCTTCTGATACGTGTCAAATACTCGTCAGCAAGTAATGGCAGTATGTACCCCTGTAAGTTTGCCCTGTCAAGTAAACCCGAGCACTTTGCTCAGAAAAATCATTTTAAAAATTACGATGAGCGATTCCGAAAGTCTCCCTTCAGATGTAGAAGTTGCCGCAGTACGTGCCACGGAATCATTATTGCCGGAACAGTCGCGATCAAAAAATGAAGAAACATACAACCAGTTTTTGACATGGTGTGATGACATAAAGGTGAAGTTGTTTTTTATTATTATAAAAACTAGTTGTGTTATAGATTCATAACACCACTAGTTGTGTTATGAATCTCATAACGTAACTGACATACTAAAAAAAATAGTGATGTAAAAACGTTATAAGTAAACTGTTGTAGATAAATAATAAAAGATCGAGACTGCTGCATAGGGATTGCTTCATGCTAGAAGCAAAATGATTGGCATTTAACAGATAATATTTTTAAGAAATAAAATGGCATTTTTTACAAACTAAAACTAAATTTGAACGTAGTCCTCGTTTGTTGATTGATTTGACGAACCCTGTATGATCATAAAATATTCTATAATTTCTTGAATTTACCAATAAAGTAACAACCCTACACAACACAAATTTTAAATAATACAAAATAATTTCGATTATGGTTACGATTCCACGAAAGTAAACTTAAAAAACAGTAAATACAACTCAGCAGCAGTTAAAATTCCTTCTTTATTCCAATACTCTCTAATAATGATTTATTTCGCTGCATCGTTATGTTTGCGTTATCTGCCGACGACATGACCGGTTGGCTGTCACTGCTGTCAGTAATGCAGTTCTGCGGATAGGGGTCCATATTAAGTAGGATCTGCATCCATCAGTACCGGCACCGGAGAGAGATCAGTGGATGCATATCCTTTCGGACCTACCCATCTCTACAATGTAATGATTGTGCGGAATTTGTCAAGTCCACGGGGACTCTCTGCCGCGTGTATATAGGTAGCGATCTATAAAATATATTGATGTTTCTTCAAATGCGTTTTGCAGTAAACTGATCATCCTCCAATGTTGTGTCTGCATTCTTGAAATTCCTTTCGTAGACACAGCTCCAGTAGACGTACATTACGTTATTTAACGTGATCAAAAGTTAAATGTATTCTAAATAAAACTCCCAAAAATATCAAAATTAATTTAATACTCCATAAAACTGAGCATAGAAATATTACTATTACAAGACAGAATATCTTTGTGAGCCTCCGGAAAAAAATATCCTTCCTCTTCCTTAATATCGGTACAAGCCACGTAGATTTTCGCGGGATGGTCTTTGTGCTCGTCCATCAGTTCTTGCAGTTTGGTCACTTGGTGCCTGTTGTACTTGGACACGCATATGACGAGCAAAATGACGTTCGCGTGGCGTTTAAGCAGTTTCTCGACGGGCCACAGCTGAGACGAGTGTTCGTACTCGCATTTGGTGACGATCCTGCTCAGTTTCGAGGTTAGGTTTTTATTCAGCGCTGAAAATAGCCGGTCCAAATCGATGTGGACATTTTCGAACCTAGATATACATGTTATTAACGCGACGCACACTGTTGCGCTCAATGGACATAATTCAAAAATGCATGTATTTATTTTTGGGTTTGTAAATACACCTATCTTTAGAGGAATGTCTGCTGATAATAAAAATAGAATGTTCTTTTTTTATTGTTTACGAATTCCAAAGAAACAGAGATAAAGAAAACGAAAAATAATTTTGTGCGTTAATTGAAAGATTAGTGTAAAATTTATTCTATAAGAGGCACTTTGTCATTTTAAAGTTTTTTTATTATTTTTAACATTAAGGAGACTATGGATATTAATTTAGAAGGTAAGCAGTCAGTTACGTTATTTGCCTTTAGTATTTATTTAATTTAAAAAAAAAAATTCAACTTTGACTTAGAATTACAAAAAATATATATCAATATAGTCCGAAGAAATTTTGAAATATAAAATCTTTAAACAATTTAGTTTAAAATGATAACAATCATTTTTTGCGGAGATTTGCGGAATTTGCAATTTTTCTATTTTTAGAACAATCCTCTGCTATTCCCAACAGCATGTTATACGAATGGGTAACTTGTAAAAAAATAACTTGTAATAAAATATAATATATAATATATATATATATATATATATATATATATATATATATATATATATATATATATATATATATATATATATATATATAAATATAGTAATATAAAATATAACTTGTAAAATAATAACTCAGTTTATAATCATCTCCTGATGATGCTAACATGGTTAGCGAAACGCGCGTCCAGTGTAAAAGTAAATAAAAGTGTTTTGGTGTATTGTGGTGATTTAGTGTTTTTATTTTGCTGTGTAACACAAAGATTCCAACCCTCAACTGTAATATTGTAGAATTAAAATAATATACATCATGTTTTGCGCATTTTTGCGATTTTTGTTAATTTTCTATTTTTAAAGAAATCCTCTGCTATTTTCAATTTAGGATTTTATACCAAAAATGCCAAATATTTATTTTTAAATTTATAATATATTTTTTTAAGTTTCTAGCACATTTTCAAAAATACGTCAAATGTATTAAAACCATAGCAAATTCTTTATTAAGAGGACTTTAATTTATCTATATAATGCTGGTTATTTTTTGAAAATTAATCAACCCCTTAGGAAAATAGTGGGGTTTGAAATTGGGGGATGATACCCCCACTTGAATCTTGAAGATTTCTCTATGGATTTTACCCTAAAATAACGTATTTTTAAAATTTGTTTAAAAACCTTCCAAATTCTTGATATATAATTTATTTTGCATTTTTTTCCCTTATTATTGATATTTCAAACCTCCATATTTTCAATAGGGGCTTATCGATTTTGGAGAACTATACACCAATATTTAGGTAAATAAAGACCTTTTCAATAAGGTATAAATTGGCCCCTCTTTCCATGTGAAAAATTTTGGGGGATGACACCCTCGCATAGGGGATGACAATTTTGCAATCATTTTTGGAGCAAAAGTTGGCTCTCTTATAAACAAAATAAATAAAAATAGTCGCAATAATTAATATTAGTTTGTTTTCAAAATATGAATTTTGACCCAATTCTCCTATAAGGTGCAACACTGTGCGACGTACTAAAATAGAATCATTTTTATAGGCGAGGGCGTCTCTATGTTTACTTATTTCACTGAGATCATAATCATAGCCATACAGGGTCCGGCAATAGTGCGTCGAGGATCTGTAGCTCCTATAATAAAAAAATTAGGAATTTTGGATAAGTGCAAACCTAAAGTATGCACTAGGAGGTATTTCAGTAAATTTTTATAGGGTTACTCAAAAAAGTGAGTGGATCGGGATGATTTTTTTTAATGAAACGCCCTATATATTATTGCATTTTTGGCTTCCTTTCTGATCATTTTACGTAATCCTAAGATATTATTTAATATGTTATTTGAGCTTGTTTTTAAATATTAAAAATACAAGAAATATCCTGAAATCAAAATTATACTAGGTATTTATTATAGTTGGTCTGTACTTACTTTGCTATAAATATCGTAATCTTAAACCGCATTTCTTCTTCTTACAGTGCCATACTCTATACAGAGCGTCGGCTACCTCTCGCATGTACTTGTGATGTGTGTCATCAGTATTTCACAAGTAAACGGGACCTACAGTTTATCGCCGAATACGAAAGGCACTATTTGAGAGACTGTACAAGGCAAATATACTCAAGGTGGTTTGCCATTGCCTTCCTTGAGGTGGCGGCTCACTGGTCGCTCTATTTAGATAAATCAATATTTTTATTTAAATAAATAAAGCGACCCTACTGGCTGAGGATCGAACCCATCCCATCTCTCGCACCGCAGATCGACACACTAACTGCTTGCGCTACGGCCGGCCACCATAAAGGCAAAACGGCACAAATTCAATTTCAAGTATTATAACATTTTTAGTGGTTTCATAAATATTCGCGTTTTTACTACATGTGGCTCTTTCAACGGCATGAAAAATGATGTATGATCGAAAAAAAAACAAGAAAAAAATCTCCAGTTGGCTTCTAAATGAACATCGATGACATTCCCCATATAGTTTTACATATAAAATGACGGCGATCTCCATTTCACAGCCATCTCTGAAGCTTTTTTCGATCATATTGTATAATATTAGGAATATCCGCGAAACCGTTAAAAGTTTTAAAATACTTAAAATACAAAAAATGTTAATTTTTTTAATTCTCCATCGAACAAATTAAAAAAAAAACGAAGAAAAATTATTTTTTATTTTACAAAGTTTGGCATAGAATTGTGAACACCCTATATGGTTTAAGATTACGATATTTATAGGAATGTAAGTACAAACCAACTATAGTAAATACTTAGTATAGTTTTGATTTAGGACAGTTCTTGTATTTTTAACTTTTTTTTAAAAGGCTGAAAAAATATTATTTTATTTATTTATATTTCTGAAACCATCAAAATATATTTAATATTTTAGGATTATATATAAAGTGATCAGAATGGAAGCCAAAATTGCAATAATGTACAGATTGTTAAGCTTAAAAAAAATATCGCCATCCACTAGACTTCTTTGAGCCACCCCTGTAGAAGTTAAAATATGCCCGACGCACTATTGCCGGACCCTGTATAATAATTATTGTGAGGAAGCCTGTACAGGGTGAGTAAAGATTATTCATTATCTCGTTTCTTTTGAAAATAATGAAAATATATTTAACAGAAAAATTTTATGGAATATACCGGGTGCGTCTCAAAAGTGGATCACCCCTATAACTTTTTTTTTTCAGATAAAATCACGAGACACGGTATAGTATATGACATAAATTAGGATTGATTGACGTATTCAATTGTTTCCTGTATCACCGGAAATGACTACAACTTTTGATTTTTAATGACCACCTTGGCATTTTTTTACTTTGTTCGATAGAAAATGGCACTTTGAATAGAATGACATATCATATGTCAACATTTGACATTTTAAGTGCCATGGCTCTGTTAAAAACACTAATTTTTAATCAATGAGCCTTGGAAAAATAGATTTGACATCTAATGTTTTAGTGTCTTATCCCGGCCGGTTAAAAGATGCTCAAATCGTATTTTTAATCATATCTCAATGTTTTCAAATGGAACGAGGGTGGCTCATTAGCATAAGTATTTCGAAAAAAAATATTTTACGAATAATTTCGTACTACACACTTGGTATTTCGAGTCAAATTGTCGTTATGAACCGCATGTTGCAATTTCAAATAAACCATATTCCATATTATATGATATGTCATTCTTTCAGAGTGTCATTTTCTATCGAATAAAGTTACAAAATACCGAGGATACATTTAAAAATCAAACGTTGCGTTGGAGTAATTTCCGGTGAAACAGGAAGTGACCGAAAACAATCCTAATTTATGTCATATACTAACATATAAAAATCTCGTGATTTTATCTGAAAAAATAAAAAAGTTATAGGGGGTGAGCCACTTTCGAGACACACCCGGTGTACTCTCTTTCTCCCCCCCCCCCTCTCATGAGATTTAGTGAGATCCGATATTAGCCAACCCCCCTTGAGCCCCCCACGTAGTTAATATATAGCCGCCTTACCTGAAATCTCTCAGCATTTGGGCGTAGTTTAAATGGGAATATAAAACTGAATTTAAGTCTTCGTTGTTTTCTCTGCTCAAAAGTCGCAACGATTCAAGTTGTGGACATTTTAAAAATACCTGAAAAAAATAATCTGTTAGTTTAAAATAATGGAGGAATAAAGAATACCATTCTGTCTCCTTGAAGTCAACATTACTAATAGGTAATAGGCGTGTCTAGTTATTACATGATCTAAGGTTGATTTAATAAATATTTTTTTTATATGTTTCAGACATTTATACATGAATTTATTTTGATTCCAAAAATACGTAGTGATTCTATGTCTACGAAATATTGAGACACCCTGTATATTGGTTTACTTACGTCCTTCAGGAATGCGCCACTGGAGTATGTCGGTATTTCCAGGGTCAGTTTTTTTAAATATCTCAGGTTGCTGATCAGTTCGTAAGCACCCAGTATTGCTGAACTAAAACTAAAGATATTTTTTATGTATAGGGAAATATATACAGGGTACTACAAATTCGGGGTACGAGCATTGGTATCTCGGTAACCGTAATAGATACGAACAAGGTTAAATTGATGTAAAGTTGCGCTTTGGGATATTCACCAAGATGCCATCAAAAAAGTTTTAAAAATTTCAAGAATTGCTTAATGTTTTGAATGCTGTTCGTAGTGAACGTTTTACCCCACGTCATTGTTTGAAAGCTTATCAATACTGTAACGATGAATAGATTAAATATTTAAAAAAACAGAGCCAGTAACGATAGGAAAAAATAAAATTGATTTTCAAAAAAATTTGTTTTTTCTAAACACCTCCGTAATCCTTGAAATTTAAAAAAAAATTGATGGCATTTTGGTCAACATCCCAAAGCGCAACTTTGCCCCAATTTAACCATGTTCGTATCTATTACGCCGTAATAGATACCGTAATAATTACGGTTACCGAGATAGCAATAATGCTCATGCCTCGAATTTGTAGTACCCTGTATAGTTATAGTTTTGGGATAATTTACCATGGTATCCTTAAGGAATCTGCTTCGGGATCATTGTATTCAGAACTAAAAATTAAAAAAAAATCAATTATAAAAAATATTTTATTATTTTATTTTTTGTGTTTTTATGGAGTTTCTCGTTTATGAGTAAAGCTACAAAGATACAGGAGTTTGCTACGAAGAAAGATACGATGCTACACAACCTATTTTAAGAAAGTATTATTATTTAATTTAGTTTAACCAGATAATTGTGCTTTCTGTCGTGCTATCTTAATAAACTGCACTGAAAATGAACTTTTAGATAACGCGCTGTCAGAGTTAGTGATATTTTTGATGTAATTGTGCAAGAGTTTTACACACAGAAACTAGCCTGGATGCAATAACCAAAATTTGGGGTCAAACAAATTATTCGATTGCTTTTATTACCTAATTTAAACCGGCCGCGGCCGCCTAAAATAAGTATACAGAAAAAAGTCTTTACAAGAAAAAAAAAGGAAAGCTTATATGCTTGTTTTAAAACGGTTAATCCCGTTTATACTTTTCCAAATTTCCATACCGTTTGAGAGAAAATTAAAAAAAAACTGAAAATATGGTCCTAAAAATCTGTTTGTGTGTTAATATAATTTCGATTTCAATCTTTGATTTGGTTTGGAGATGGATATTAGAGAACAACGGCATACGGTCGAGTCGGCCTACAAACACGTAAACGTTTACGTACGCATGCGCATTTATTATATTTTCTATTTTTTATACACGTAAAAGATTCTTTACGTCTACGTATACGTGCCAGGAGCGGCCGACTCGACCGTATGCCGTTGTTCTCTATTGTGAATTTTGATTAACGTCATATTTATTGCTGTTATGCTGTTATTAAAGTATCACATTTTCCGATAACTATTATCACCCTATCCTTAGCATTGAACTAAATAAATTTTGTGCTTCATTAACTCTTTAAAAGAGCAAAAAATATGACTTTAATATAAATTCTATCAATAACAATCTATCTTGTGAATCTATCAAAGAATAAAAACGAAATATTATACCTGATTATACCTGGATTATACCATACGGAATATTACCATAGAAACGCGTTTTGATTTTTAGCACTTAAAATTCAACTATTATTTTTTTTTTTAGTTTTCTTTAAAAAAGGTTTGGAAAAGTATAAACGGGATTAACTTTTTTTCTTTTTTAGACCAAGCAAAAATTTTTATGAAGAATGCATTTTCCCAAAATGTCAATAATAAAAAGTTTTTCCTCTTACAATAGACAATAAGGGGACATGGAGAATGTAGAATGTTTAGGAGGGGAGTTAATCACCGCGACCTTACAGATCTATATATTATGTGTTGCCCTTTCTTGAGTTATAACGAGTTATAACTACAACATCATACAGTCTCAGGGCTTTAACAAAAGCCAGTATCTGAGACGGCTCCACAGAGCTATACGAGGACATACTATAGAGTATATTGTATTTTTAGAAACTTCATAAAAAGTTCAAGCAAATAAAATATAAAAAAATTATATACAGTGTATCCCATTTAAAAAAAACCATATAATTTTGAGTCATATTTCGAAAATGACAGCTCCCTGCGAAAAACTAGTTAGTCACTAGATTCTACGTGAAAAACTCTTCAGGACTCAGTTTTCACCCTCGATAAGATATAAGATACAACACACACACAATTTCAAATCCGCTCAGTATTTCAGGAATTAAGAGGGCTAGGACAAATCTGCGTGTAGCATCTTTATTTTCATAAAAAAGTAGCATAATGATGCGAAAACCGCATCTTAGAATCTCGACTCATAATCGAGAAAATGTAAAATAGTAAATATAGAGAGTCTAAAAAGCCATCATTACCTACTTGTTACACGTGGCGATCTCCAAATCGGTCATATAGGGCGAATTATTGATAATGTGCCTGAAAATGTTTTTCTTTTCGCTTTTTTCAATATTCCCTTCTAAAATATTAAATTTTCTAAAAATTAAACTCGTTATAATGCGGATTTCTATGTTACCCTGTAAGATACACAGTGTCAGGGCAACTTTTTTAAGTCCTTTACAGTGTTTCGACAGTAAAATGTCGATAGCCGCGTTAACGAAGGTCGGATTGCATGTTCGAACATGCAGGAAGGACAGTTCCTGGAATTCGACATGTTTAAAGGAACGTTTTTCGGAAATTTCCTAAAATTTTTAAGTTAGTTAAAAACAAATATATTATTATTATAAGAATGTATTGCTAGTACCTCATTTGCACAATAAGTGGAAAGTGAAGCGAAAGAAAAGAAATAGGTATATCAATCTTGCATAAGTCTATGCTTTTGGTTCAACAGGATTTTCGTACGCACGCGCCAAATAAAACGATCTGATTCGTCTACTCGGATCGCTGAACGCTGTCACCTGCGCGCGCACTATTTTAGACTCTAAATATTAACACAGATTAGGTATCCTATAAGTATACAGATAAAAATCTTGTCTCTAATTCGTGGTACGAAAATTGTTTTTTATGACGATGTGCAAACGAGTCAAATTTCCTGTGCGCAAAAATAAACTCGCGTAAAATAACAATAAACAGCGTAATAGAGAGATATCGCTAAACCGAATAGCGTGCATGGACGTTAATAAGGCAGGTTTATTTCCTTTACGTGAGGTGGTATTAACTCTCTTCATTTATAGCATATTTATAGTTATCGGATCGGAAAGAATTCTGATCGCGTTGCGTCCGCTATTTAAACTTAACCTAACTTTGAATTTAAAACTTTGAAATTGTTTTGTTTACTAGGTATTTTAAAACTAAAGGGCTAAAGTGCTTATTTCCAGTGCTTTGTTGTTTAACGTCTGCCAGTGGGTTTAGGGCAACAAGCAACAAATTCTCTTAGAAGGGCTAAGTCGTCATCTGCTGTAAACCTAAGACTCTTTATAGGTTCTTTAGTATTGGAAGAGGTGGAATCTATATTTTGGGCCATATTTATTTAATTAAAACTAATCCCAGCTACTTATATATCAAATTACCTAATAAAACTAAAGCAATAATTCAAAACAATTCAAACATAACCTAAAATAAAAGATCTCGCCGGCCGGCTCCGGTTGTCAAATACCCGCACATGCCCATTTAAGCAATTTTTAAACATTATCAGAGGTTATTTAGAAAGAGCGCTTGGTGTAATTGATCCGCAAATTACGTCAGGCGGTAACGTTATTAGCGGGTGTTGCGTTAAAAATTGACTCGCGCATATCGTAACCATGATAAGGTACGCGTAAATACTGGATGACGCTATTCGGTTTTCCGATATCTCTCTAATAACTGTGCCGGTCAGGCGCTATGCACAATTTTAGAGGCCACAAGTGGGCGTGCTATGTGTGCAAACTAGTAACCTAACTAGTACCCGATTCCGAAAATTGGAACCACGAAAAACAATAAAGAAAAAACAAAGATTATAATCTGTGATATTAATAACGAATAATATATTATTTTTTATTGGAAATAGCATTATTTCAACCGGTTATTTTAGATATTCATCATATCTATTCGTTTCTTGATTTTGTTTAAATATGTCAGAGATTAAATGTAAATTTATAAGTAAAGGCGCGAATAGTCAGAAGCTAAATTGATTTACGTGGTAGATCGAAACTTAGATAACTACTTCTATTGGTTAGTATGAAATAAATCAACTAATCGCGAAGCACTTCTCACGCTGCGTAGTTCAAAGCTGTTCAACGAAAAGGGCCGACTTATATGGATTTTGTATAGCTCCTAATCCTCCTCTATCTCAAAAATTTGGCTTCAATTTCTGTTCCTTACTAGCACTATATTCTTATAATATATTTGGTTAAAAACATTCTAAAGCCCCGCCTACACGTTTACTACCCCTGTATCTTTGATTTAAACTGACAGGACCAAAACATAAGGTAAACCGTTATGTATAGACGGAGCTTAAGATCAACTAAAATCAACTTACAAGAGAATTTCTGTAATTACAAGGGTTCTGACACAAAAACGTCCTGACAATGTCCCAGGATTTCTCTGTTCGGCTTTCAAATACTTCAGACAATGACCTCTTCCTCAGGGATATTATTTGTGGGGCTGAAGTTCTGACTAAAAAATTTAAAACTGTAGAGGGTGTCCCATTTTCGTGTGTTTTACAGGGTTTCTCGATGGCGAGTATTGTAGAGTGAGATGTCTGTAGTTCAGGAACTAAGAGGGCTACTACAAATCTGTGTGTCTAACATCTTTAGTTTCATAAAAAAAAGTTGCACAATAATGTGAAAACCGCATCTTTGTATCTAAGTCTACTCATAAACGAGAAACCCTGCAAAACACACGAAAATGGGACGCCCTGTACTCGGTTATTAATATTTAAAAAGTTAATAAGTTGCAAAATAAAATTTGAACTGTATTTCCATTTTTTGTATATTTATATTTTTGTCTTTATTTTTCTAAACTCTAAAAAAATTCTAAACTTTTTTTAGTGAAATAAATAATGGATTGGTATGGATATAATCTGTGGTATGGACGTCATCTGTTTTTTTTCTGTCATCGTCTGTCGAAATCTTCCCTGAGTTGTAAAACAGAGTATAGCTTTAAATAAATACACTTACCGTAGCAGATTATTGTGATATAAGACCTTTTCCGTTCAAATATTTTAAGCATGCCGAAAGGCTTGTAGTCTAAAAATGGCACATTTGCCTTAGATTTTATTATAAACTTCTTTAAATTCCTCAAATTGCACACTATATAGTCGTACCTCAATGGACTTTTCTCGTAGTCGTCTGCGTCATATAACTGTAACATATTATTTTAAAGTTACAAAATCTATGGGAAATCCCATCAAAAACATAAAATATAAAAAAAATGTCAGGTCCCACCTCAAGGCGGTTCTTCCACGCCAGAAAGTTGAGGGATCTCATGAAAAACCAAGTCAGTTAATTTAGTTAGTGTCTACAGGCTTGGTGCATTCTTCGCCGGTGCTGCCATCATCGGAGAATCACGTAAATAACCGAGTTATACAAATACACGAGCTTAAATAGCGAGTATATGAAATATTCGTTAAAATTTGAAAAGTATTAGTAAGTGCATTTGGGGGAAATTTTTTAGAAGGCGTTCATAAAAAAATTAAGCATTTGTTGATTAAAAAGAAGTATACCGTTAATGTTGATTAAATTATATTGTATCCTCATAGTATAGGCTTGATGCATTTCAGTTGATTTTAAAAATTCCGACCGCAGCGCTCGTCACGGCAAAAATCAGATGTTTTCGCTCGGAATTTCATGCAGTTCCGATGTTGATCGCATTGAAATAATATTAAAATCGTGGATTTGTCATAATCTTTAAGTATTTTAGTTTTTAATAGTGCTGTAATTGAATAAAAAAATAAAATCAACTGTAAAAAAATAAATATAAAAAAGTTCTATATTTGTGGGACGCGAACCTGGGACCTCTCGATCCCGAAACGACGGACTTAATGTAAACGCCACGAATGTTTGAGAGTGATCCATCGCTTGATGAAGTTAGAATCGACACGCGCGCTATCATTTTTACATTAAAAACGTAAACTTTCACCGCAGACGTAGGTTTTTAAAGGCCCGGTCTAATCATCTACCTCTAATCATCCTCCTACTTATTCTAAAATGTTAGCGTGAATGACAAAGACGATACTATATCGCGTTTCTTTGATTGATTCGTTTTTGTGCGTCAGTACATTGGTGTGCTTGCAGTGAGAGCAATGGGGCATTCCAGTTTATACTTATAACCAAATATATGTTTTGACAAGACTTTGAGAGTTAAAATAACAAATTACAACAGATTATATATTGATTATTATATGACTTGAAACACCACGGCACTGGAATTAAGTTGTATGTGACCTTGAACAGATTAGTTCACATGGTAGCGACCGATGAATCACTCCCAAACATTCGTGGCGTTTACTATACCAATGGAGCCACAGCTGCTTTCGTAGGAAGGCTATAGCTAGGCATTACTTAGTTCCGCCGTACATAACGTAATAATAAGTACCATCTGACAACAGTGCTAAAATGTCCAATGGTTTATACGTCATTCCCACCTCTTGTTCAAAACATGTTTCATATGAGCGCAAACGCTTACCAGAATATTCTTAATAGTCTATATTACGCTGTACTTCCGGATTGCTCTCAGGGGTCGGGTAATGTGGGTGTGTCGCCGAAGGAAATATATATTATATTTCAGAAATCTGCCTAAGGCTTAGCCTGATCCTGTCGTGTTAAGCCTAACCCAAAATACCAAACGCGCGTGCTTTGATTAAGGCTTGCTTAAAGTTTGCAGAGCTTCAGCGTTTGCCATAAAATAGCGAGCAATTTGTTACAAAACTATATAAATTATATATCACTGTAATCACAAAACTTCAATCTATTTTCGTGTTGTAACGGAATTTTAAATTATGTCTTTACTTTCGAGAAAATTTAGTCCAAACATAAAGAATATTTTGTTGATGTTTGACCATCAAAATCTTAAAAATAAAGAAGTGGTCTAAAAATGTGCTACAATATGGGTATAGTATAATCCTTTATCTTTAATTTCCTTCTTCATTTGTGTAAAAATACCTAGCCAGTTTTACATAAAACGTTAAATGCCGAACGCTTATTTTGCTACTTTTTCGGACTAGTCAAATGGACTCTAATAAAGACAATTAGGAGAAGTACTGAACGTCATTTCCTTAAATTCTTAAGGCAAGGTTAGGGTTAGGACTAATACTCGAATAAACTGAGTTTTTCTCCATTATTGTATACATACCCACAATTCATCTAATCCTCTCAGTTCGTTAAAAAACATATAATATATCCGTCTAAAATCAGCTTTATACTTCGATATAAATTTAATGCATAGCGATTTCAAGTTGACCAAGTTTTCTTTGTAAGTCTCTCGGGAAGATGTGAATTGGTCTGCTTCAACTGACACTGCCAATTTTCTAAGCTGAAAAAAACACACAACACTTTCAAGGGCGTCGTTGCATAACAGCAGAGAAAAATATACAAGGTGATTCAGGAAAATTCGGCAGCATATTCTGCAGATAAAAATAAGTAAAAAAGTTCGTATGAATTTATGTCCTAAAGTGATTCGTTTCGATATGGGGTGTAGAAGTTTCATGTTTATTTCGAACTCAAATTATATAACAACCTAGGTTTTTGTATCGTGAATCACGTATAATGTTTGGTTTAGTCAATATAAAGAAATATATAAGTTTTTAATATCGAAAGAAATCCCATCTAGTTTTAGTTGTCGTAGCCGAGTGTTTGAGGTGCAGCGCGAAATTTGTGTAGATAATTCATAATTTTCTGGTTATTGAGCTTGATTTTATCTGCAATGATCAAGCTTCAAAATAAACTGTGGTTGACTGATTCTGGAATAGATATTTTAAAATAGACAAAATGGTGTATAGTTTGTAAAATAGTGCGATTAAAAGAACACAATTCCTTAAATTTCGAAAAATGTTTAGAGAAAAAACCCCGCATTGACTTAAAATATAAAAATGTGAAATAAAACTTTTAGGATTGTGTATGTGTATATATGCATTTATATTTTTGTGACATTGGGCTCGTTCAGGGAACACAGCCGCTGACATCCAGCGTAGAATTTCCCTAAACGGCACAAAGCAGCACAAAGAACAAGAAAGAGTACCTGTCTCATGCGCTCTCTGTCTACTATAAAAATTTGAGAGAAATATGAAAAAAAATTATTACTGGCTGAGATCATTTAATAAATGAAAATATATTATTTGACAATACAGTATAAACATTAAATTTCTAAAAGATAACAGTTTATAAATAATTTTACCTATACACCTAAACAACTTAAAATAACAGGAACTGGCACCTTTTACGCATTTTTTTTTTTATGGTACAAATAAAATTACTGAAGGTGTATACCCAGTATATATTCAGTTAGTTATTCTATGGTGTATACCCTACAATAAAAAAAACGACGTCAGGGGTGATGTGGAGGTAAAGATTGCTGTTAATTTATAAGTCAACTTATATAGGGAATATTATCGATCGTCATTTCTAAGCCAATTGGGGGCAATTTTTTTTCGATCAGACGGTATAATTACAATCAAAAGTTATTTATCCTGATTTAGATTTTTTCAGAGTAGTATTTTTTTAATTTCATTGTATTTAGAAAACTCGACTTGAGATGGAAATCAAGTTGAATTTTCTTTATTTCTTTAACTTCTTCGATCTCTATTTACAATTATTATCTTTTTCGAACGTTTTAGATCAACCTACTGCTCTGTAACTTTTTTGACAACAAATATCTCCTATTTTTTAAGGATTCGATTAACTACGATTAACTATAAACTTCAACAAACCATAAAAAGAAAACAATAAACTGAGAAAATTAAAGTTATTTTACATTAATTGACCACAGATAAGGAAATAGATTAAGGCTGATTTGTCTCAGCCTAAATATTTACCGCTGAGAATTTTGCACAGCGGCTGACTGTTGCTGTTCGTCAGAACTAGATCGACATTTTGAATTGCAATATCTCAGAAGTGGTAATTCCTAGGAAAAAAGGATAAGGACCATTATTGTAGATAATTCTATAATATACAATTTTGGTCTGAGCTATTTTTTTAAAAAATTTACCGTTTGCGAGAAAAATTCAAAAAACCGAAAATTTTGACCTTTGACCTTAAATACTTTTTTTAGCAGACGTGGGATCGACGGGGACTTTTTCTTATTCTTTATAATAGTAAACCCAAAGTCTCTACCTCTACCAAAATTCAGCTTGGTCGGAATTTTGATGATTTGATCGCTATTTTTCTAGTTAAATTGACCGGACTATAGTGTTTATTACCTTTTTGTACAGAATTAAATCCTCATTTCTCATGCCCAATTTCGTATCCAGTGCCCTCAGTTCTTCCAGCTGCGGCAGAAGCTGAACGACGCATCTCAGTTCATCCAGGTCGATCCAGTACAGTTTGTTTATGTTCAGGAATTTAACGTGATTAAATTCCACACGACTGAACATGCACAAATATAGATTCTCTTTGTGGAAATCGTAACACCCGCTCAAATCAAAATTTCTACGAAATATTTTAGTCTTTTTTTTGGGATTTACAGGGTGAATCTTAAATAAGTGCAAATATTTTTAGGGCCGATAAATCTGGATAAAAGAAACATTTTCTGTTTACCGTTTTTTATACAGGGTGTTTCAAAACAAATGCGAAAAACTTCAGGGGGCGATTCCTTGTTCAAAATAAAGGGTAGTTTGCTTCATAAACGTTGGGTCAAAAGTCAACCATTAGGGAGATATCGCGGTACAAAGATGGCGGAAAAATAATGTTTTTATTTTTTATCTTAAAAACGAAAAGAGATAGACTAATAAAATTTTATGGAAGCATTACTGTTACGAAAACACACTTTCTGGTAATTTTTTCACTTTTTTAAAATGAGTGGAAGGGGTTGAAATAAACGACCCCTATCATTCTTGTTAACGAAATTTAAAGAAAAATCTTATCAAACACTTGCAAAAAAATTAAATTGGATAGTTTAGTTTGTTTAGAAACTTTTTTATCTCTTGTATTTTTTTGATAATACTCACCGATTTGAAATTAAAAAATAAAATGTAAAACATTACATGTCAGGACAAAAAACATTTTCTGATAAAGAATCTAGTGGGCTGCTGTAATTTTTTAGGAAAAAATCTAGTCGGCCGCTGTTACTTTTTAGGATGTTCCTAATATTATTTTATTTGACATTACTCTACTGCAATACGTTATTATCTAGATATTATTATTATCGTTATTATCACTAAATTCTTAATCTAAAATGTTCTTTGTCCTGACATGTAATGCTTTACATTTTATTTTTTTAATTTCAAATTGGTGAGTTTTATCAAAAGAACACAAGAGATAAAAAGTTTCTAAACAAACTAAACTATCCAAATTAAAGCATTTGCATGTGTTTGATAAGATTTTTCTTTAAATTTCGTTAACAAGAATGATAGGGGTAGTTTATTTCAACCCCTTCCACTCATTTTAAAAAAGTAAAAAAATTACCAGAAAGTGTGTTTTCATAACAGTAATGCATCCATAAAATTTCATTAGTCTATCTCTTTTTGTTTTCAAGATAAAAAATAAAAACATTATTTTCCCCCATCTTTGTACCGCGATATCTCCCTAATGGTTGACTTTTGACCCAACGTTTATAAAGCAAACTACCCTTTATTTTGAACAAGGAATCACCCCCTAAAGTTTTTCGCATTTGTTTTGAAACACCCTGTATAAGTCCAAAATAACCGAGTTATTTTACTTTGAAAATTTAAAAAAATATATTTATAGTTTTTGCTTAAATTTTAAGAACTATTGGATCTTTTCTGGGTTGTCTTTCTTAAAAGATGTTTTTTAACTAAAAATTAAAAAAAAATCCAAATAATCCTATCATATACAGGGTGTCCCAGAGTGAGCGTGCATTAGAAGTTTCTAGAGAACCACAATATCTAGATCGGAGATTTTTTGCACATCATTGTTTTACAACGAGATTTATCGATTAAAAATATTTTCAATATGACGGCACTTCCGGAAATACCGGAAGTTGACAGCAACTTTCTTACTTTAAATGGGTGCCCCCATTTTTTATTACACACTTAAATTCTCCGTAAAATTCTATGAATATTGATGTTAAACACTCTATATCTAACATTAACCGTTTTTGAGGAGAAAAAATTAAAATTTTTGGACAAAAAAAACTACCTGTCAAAAATATTTGTATAGCCTAAAAGTAAAATTTAGTGATTACCATAGCCACTGTGACATAAAGAGAAGACATGTGGCTATCTATTTCAAAAATTAAATAGTTCAAATGTCATATATTAATGGCGGTAGCTGTCATGGAATTAAGCGATTAAAAAATTATCATAAATCAGTTTTTTACAATGGAACCCCACTTTTTTTATTTCGCTAATGAAAAGGTTATTCAATTCCTTACTTTTGAACTATACATGTTCCTATACCTAAAATAAATCGTTTTATCCAGCTTCCTTTGAAATTAAGTGTCAAACGGTCAGACAATTTATTTCCATCTGTCAGAAAACGAATTATTTGAATTTCCTTTATTATAAATACTGTCTGCTTAAGAGTTGAAAAAGTGTATTTATAAAAATATATCTCGTAATTTTGCTCTTTAGCGATATCTAATAGTTGATGATTAATAATATTCCTTATGATCGAAAAAAAAAAGTGCAAAGTTGGATCGGAAATGATGCTGCTTTTTGAACAAAGCGTCACAATATGACATGGCCAGATCTATTGTTTTACATCACTTGAGGTTTAAAGTCATAGGCTACTGGTTAAAATCAAGAAAAATGTACCCTTTAAAACTAAATCTTAAATAACTTAAAAACGATTTATTTTAGGTATAGGAACATGAATTTTCAAAAAGTAACGAATTGAAGAGCCTTTTCAGTAGTGAAATAAAAAATGTGGATTGCCATTTGAAAAAAATGATTTATGATAATTTTCTAATCTCCAATTCTATGACAGCTGCGGCCATTATTATATGACATTTGAACAATTTAATTTTTGAAATAGACAGCCACATGCCTTCTCTTTATGTCACAGTGGTAATAACTAAATTTGACGTTTAGGCTATACACATATTTTTAGGCTATACACGTTTTTTTCGTTCAAAAATTTTAAATATTTTTTTTCTCAAAAACGGTTAATGTTAGATATAGAGTGTTTGATATCAAAATTCATAAAATTTTACAGAAAATTTAAGGATGTAATAAAAAATGGGGGCACTCATTTAAAATAAGAAAGTTGCTGTCAACTTCCGGTATTTCCGGAAGTGCCGCCATATTGAAAATATTTTTAATCGATAGATCGCGTTGTGAAACTATGATGTGCAAAAAATCTCCGAGCCAGATGTTGTAGTTCTCTAGAAACTTCTAATGCACGCTCAGCCTGGGACACCCTGTATATGTATCTATCAAAAAAACTTTCAAAAACCTCAGGCATGTTTCTGGGGTCGAAATGTACTATCCCTAAAAATATTTGCACTTATTTAAGACTCACCCTGTATATACAGGATGGCTCCAGGAAGTCCAATATCGCAAAGATATGATTTTTTTATATACCGGATGTTTCTCAAAAGTGACTCACTCCTATAACTTTTAATTTTTTTCAGATAAATAAACCAGAGATTTGGTACGCTAGTTTATGACATAAATAAGGATTGATTGGCGTATTCAATTGTTTTCGGTCACTTCCTCTGTTTCACCTCGGTATTTTTTTACTTTATTCGATAGAAAATGACACTCTGAATAGAATGACATAATCATATGTCAACTTTTGACATTCTCACAAATCGTATTTTAAATTTCAATCTAGAGTGCAGTGTTAAAAAGGTTAAAAACACCAATTTTTTATTAAGGAATCTTGGAAAAATAGACTTGATCGTCTAATATTTTTTTGTGTCTTGTTCTGGCCAGTTAAAAGATGAGATCGTATGTTTAATCATAACTCTAATTGTTTCAAATGTAGCTCATTAGCATATTTGGAAAATGCATGTTTTTACTAATAATTTGGTACCTATTGGAACATTAGAAACCATATAGTGCTTCAAATAAACGTATCATATGCAGAATTTTATGCTGAATTCAAATGGGAGTGTAATTTAAAAAACTTAAAACTTTATCTAAATGTTTTTCTCTCTCTCTGTATACAACAAAATATTTTTAGTATATGCACCATTATAAACCTTGCAACATTTATATAAAGCTTTTTTCATATTCGTTTGTCAACAACGACGTTATTGGACTTCCCCGCACTAATGGGCTACCCTGTATACAGGGTGGCGCCTCTGATACGCCGCGGAGGCTCCAAGGAGAACGATAGTTTGTATTGAAATGAAATTTTGTGAGCATAAGTAGGTTAATTCAGAGCACTTTTTAAAAATATAGAGAGTTCTACAGGGTGTGCCCAAAAAAAGTTACATATCAAAGTTGTGTTTTTTGTAATGGAACACCCTATATATTAATTGATTTTCGGATTCTGGGAGAAAAATAAAGGTGAGTTTTATAAGAGAAGTATATGAATAAAATATAAGGTTGTTGACATATTTAACATTTTCTAGAAATAAAGAACAATTTTTAAATTACAATAAAAGCTACCTAAATTGGAATTTACCCGGTATAGCCTAATATGTATGTAGTTAAATTAACTATTATACTTTAAGTCAAATTAAAACTTGATCCAAAAAGTGATACAAGGTGAGACAAAATTAAGATTGAACATTGGTTACCTTTAAAAGCATGTTACTCTCTTATTTTAAATGGAACACCCAGTATATTATTCCGATATTCAATGGAAAATTCATGTCTCTTCAAAATACTATTAAGGTTGCCTACCCCTCAAACAAAGATTTTTCTAGATATTTTCATTTACATGATTTGATCTGAGTAGATCTTTATTATTTGATAAAATCTAGGTGGCTGCGATATGTCTGACGTTACTTCAACATAGCTGTCTAATTAGTCCAACTTTAATAACTAATTATCATTTTGTAACAGTTACAACAAAAAAAATTCTCAGAAATTTGCCGAAAATGCAAACTTATCCTACATCAGAAAGAATTGATATGATTCTATTAGTTGAGTGCAATGTGCATTCACCAAATAATAGAATACTTAAATGCTCCTGATTTTATCTAGTCTGAGTTTTTTATGGGGATATGTTAAAGACAGTATTTACAAAACTCGACCAACTAGTGTCGACAACATGAGATAAATTATTGTAGCTGCTTTTCGTGGTAGAACTTCACATATGCCTTTTAAAATCAAAAGATCCCTTTGAAAAGACAATCATTTTATGCACAGGAAAGGAATATTTTGAGCATTTGATTTCATCTAGCTAATTTTTGTCGCATAATTATAGGTTTTTATCTAGTTTTAATTCTGTAATAATTAAAATATGTTTTAAACGTGTATCTTTTTATTACCCTTGAGTATTTTACTCTACAATCTTTAATTTTTGTTAGATTAACAAAAGGTATATCACACAGCCACCTAGAATTTTTCAAATAATAAAGATTTACTGACGCAAAATCATAAAAATTAAAATATCTGGGAAAATCTTTGTCTGAGGGGTAGGCAACCTTAATAATATTTTGAAGATATATAAATTCCCCATTGAACACCGGAAAAATATTCTGGGTGTTCCATTTTAAATAAAGGAGTAACTTGCTTTTAAAAGTGACTATTATTTCATATTAATTTTGTCTCACCCTGTATAACTTTTCGGGCCAAATTTCAATTTGGTTTAACATACAATGGTTACTGTAATTAAAAATCAGGCTATACAAGGTCAATTAAAATTTAGGTAGCTGTTATCCAAATTTAAAATTTCTCTTCATTTTCACAAAATGCGTGAATATGTCAAAATTCTTAGATTTTACGTATATGCTTCTTTAATAAAACTCACCTTTATTTTTATCCTAGAATCCGAAAATCAATTAATATATAGGGTGTTCCATTAGAAAAAACACAACTTTGATCTGTAACTTTTTTGGGGACATCCTGTATAATTCTATATATTTTTATAAAATGCTTTCAGTTAACCTACATATGATGGCAAAATTTCATTTTGGATATAAACTACCGTTGTCCTCGGAGCTTCCGCGGCGTATGAGAGGCGCCACCCTGTACAGGCAGATATTTTGTTCACTTACATCACGACTCTTTTGTCCCTTAACAAGTAACACAAATCCAGAGAGGCTTTGCACAAATTCATCAGGTCGTATGCTGGAAGATGTCTGGCTATTTCCTCCCACAATTCGCAAGGGAACGGGTCCATGTTTTGTCTAATTTTTCGGGAGCCTGACCAGCGACAGTGCAAAACACTTCCGAACTTAATTAAAATCGACAGCGAATGCACGGCCGGATCGCCAAAATATCGGCGTGAGTGTATTTCTATTTTTACTGCCCGGTATTTTTGACGAACGATTTTCGAAGGTCTTGTAGCGCAAAATCTTTAAATAGCTCTGAATGAAAGAGGAGGTATTTCTACTACGCGAAACGTTCTAGTCCAGGAGGCAGTGAAGATTTTCGGTACTTTCTTTTTTAAGCCTTAACCGCCACACTGAATAATTCTATATAAGAATTTCATACCTGATAATTTAAGAACATCGCTTACACCACATCACAGTAAACCACCACATCTTTATGGGTTACCAAAAATTCACAAAGATGGTGTGCCAATGAGACTTATCACTAGTTCAAGAGATTCAGCAACTAGCAATTTAAGTAGATTTCTCCTTCAAATTGTCCAACCACTGGTAGGAAAAACATCTTCATTTGTTAAGAACTCTAAACATTTTGTAGATATACTTAAGAAAGTAGAATTAGGTCCTTCAGACAAATTTGTCAGTTTTGACGTAGAGAATTTATACACCAACGTCCCTTTAGAGGAATCGTTAGACATCGTCAAGGCTAGATTGAGGGATGACGTAACGTTTTCCGAAAGGACTTCGCTGCCTCTTGGGGAAGTGATGGAGCTCTTGAGGTGCTGTCTGCATAACTCTTATTTTCAAGTTAAAGAAAGTTTTATGCTCAAAATGATGGATTACCTATGGGTTCCTGGGTTCCCCGCTCTCTCCAGTGATAGCGAATAATATATATATATATATATATATATATATATATATATATATATATATATATATATATATATATATATATATATATATATATATATATATATATATATATATATATATATATATATATATATATATATATATGGAATGGTTTGAGACCAATGCCATTAGTACCGCGGTCGTCAAACCCAAATCTGGCTTCGATATGTTGATGATACCTTTATAATCTGGAACGGAACCGATAGACAGTTGGATTCCTTTCTTAATCATCTTAATTCGAACGAAATAACTCAATCAGATCCACGATTGAGAAAGAGAAAAACTTCTGTCTGCCGTTTCTGGATGTTCTTGTAAGTAGAAGCGATGGATCCATTAGCACACTTCTGTATATAGAAAACCAACACATACAGGACGATATTTAAGTTCTCAGTTGAACCATTCTGAAGCAACCAAAAGAGTTATAATTAAAACACAGGGCAATATTTAAATTCTCAGTTGAACCATTCTGAAGAACCAAAAGAGATATAATTAAAACACTATGTTATAGAGCAATCAGTATATGCAGTGCCCAAGGATCTCTGAATTCTGAACTAAATAATATTAAGACCGATTTGCTTCAGAATGGTGACTCTGCAAAATCCCTAGACAATATTATATCCAATTGCAGGTCCGACTCATTGGTACGCCAGCCTGAGGAGGATGCTCCCTCTCTCTTGACGATTCAATATGTGAAAGGAACATCGGAGAAGATCAGGCGAATAGCTAAGCAACATAAAATTAAAACTGTTTTTAAGTCTGGGACTACTCTAAGAAGTATCCTAACAAAAACAAAACCTGAATCATCAAACCAAGAGAAAGAGTGCATCTACCAGGTACCTTGCGAGTGCAGTGAGTCATATATTGGAGAGACAAAACGTCCTGTAGATGTACGACTTGATATGCCAGATTGTTGCACTACAATATAAAATGGTCGGAAGCCCAGGTTGTCCACAAAGAACCCCACTGGAAAAAGCGCAAATTTAAAGCAATCCTAGTATGGAAATTTCAACAATATGGCAACCACTCATAAAACGCTCCAATGCAGGTATTCTTAGTGGAAAACCTCATGCTTGACTGCACCCAACAAATTCACGGGTGAATGCTCGGCTCTAGTATATAAGCTCAGTAGTTTTAGGATTTAGTTTAGTTCACACTTGATAACGGTCAGTGATACTTCTGACAGAAACGTTGCGTAAGAAAAGATAAATAAAGACAATGGAAATCCGAAACTCTTTTAGTTTTACTTCTCCGTTAATCGCTAAAGAGGTATGGTTGCACAACTCGGGTGAAGTTTTTTTTACTTGAAGTCACTTATAAAAAAAACAATAAAACATCCAGTATACCGGGTGCGTTTCAAAAGTGGCTCACCCCCTATAACTTTTTTATTTTTTCAGATAACATAACAGGATTTGGTAGGTTAGTGTATGACAGAAATTAGGATTGATTGACGTATTCAATTGTTATTGGTCACTTCCTGTTTCACCGGAAATGACTACAACTTTTGATTTTTAAATGACACCCTCGGTATTTTTTTACTTTATTTTATAAAATATGCCACTCTGAACAGAATGACATATCATATGTCAACTTTGACATTTTTACATATGGTTTATTTGAAATTGTAACATGCTGTTCATAGTGACAATTTGACTCGAAATACCAAGTGTATGGTATCAAATTATTCGTAAAAAAATGTTTTTTTTTTCGAAGTACGCTAATGAGCAACCCTCGTTCCATTTGAAAAAATTGAGATAAAATTAAGAATACGATTTGTGCATCTTTTAACCGGCCATGAGAACCAAGACACTAAAAACATTAGACGATCAAATCTATTTTTCCAAGGCTCCTTGATTAAGAATTAGTGTTTTTAACATAACCATGGCACTCTAGATTGAAACTTAAAATACTATTTTTTATTAAGCGAGAATGTCAAATGTTGACATATGATATGTCATTCTATTCAGAATATAATTTTCTATCGAATAAAGTAAAAAAAATACCGAGGGTGCCATTTAAAAATCAAAAGTTGTAGTTATTTCCGGTGAAACAGGAAGTGACCAAAAACAATTGAATACGCCAATCAATCCCAATTTATGTCATATACTAACATGCCAAATCTGTTTTTTTTTATCTGAAAAAATAAAAATGTTATAGGGGTGAGCCACTTTTGAGACGCACCCGGTATAGAAGCCTCCCCAAACACAAAATCGTCTATAACCTTTTCTCTGCGGAAATGCATCTTTCTCTTTTTTTCCGACTTTAGAATAACTGAAATCAGTTACATGAAAACGTGTTCCTATTTTACATTCTAAACAGTTTTCTTGTGTGTGTATGAACTTAACATACTAGATACTGTAATTTAGACATCAATACCGTAAACTGAAAATTACGCATTTCCGCAGAATTTTTTTTAATAATTAATTTGTATTTTTATCTTTTTATTATCTGTTTTGTTTGGTTGGGTTGTTTTCGCCAATTTTGATATTGTCTTCGTTTGAAGCAATTGGGTGAATCAAGGACTTCTTTTATATTTATAAACCATCTGCAAGTATATAGTTCTTTACCGAGAATGTAGTACCTACTAGTAGATTCTCGGTAAAGAAACAAAAAGAAGCATTACTGAGAATTTTGATTTTGGTGTCAATATGACTCCTACTAGTAGAGGGCGGCACCTACATGTGTTTTAACTGTTTTGAAGCGTAATAACTTTTTGTCTGTACCTGTATAAAACTAACGAGCGAAAAAATATACTTGTGACTTTTTACGTAAAAAATATCTCTTTGTAAAAACCGCTACGAGCAACCGTTCTTAAGATATATTAGAATGGAAATAGACAATACATGTCATTATTGACGAAAAATAAATACGTTGAGTAGATAGTTATTTCACTGAAATAATAAATAAATTTGTGAAATTTTTCTTTTTTTAAATTAATCATAAATTTTTCTGCAAAAATGATGATAAAACAGTTTCTGTTGAACTTTTGGTACAAAAACATTTCAAATTTTTGATTTCAGTCTAATAACTATTTAGTCAACATGTTTAATTCATGTCAATGATGACAGGTATTGATAATTTCGATTCCAAATATATCGAAAACCATTACTCGTCGCGATTTTTACCAAGCGATCTTTTTCACGTAAAAAACGTCGTAAATGTCTTCAAACTTCAAACCAGTTAAAAAATATGTAGGTGGCATATTGACATCCAAATCAAATTTCTCATGCCAAAGAACTCTCAGACACCAATTTTCATCCAAATATTGACGTTACTTAACTAAAACGAAATTTCTACACCTTGTATCTCCGGAACTAAGCATTTTAGGATATACATTTATACAAAATTTTTAATTATTTCTATCTGCAGAATATGCTGCCGAAGTTTCCGGAATACAGTTCGGACCACCCTGTATAAAGGCTAAAGAATAATTACATTCAATAAAATTTAAATTAATATAATGCAATTTTATACTAAGAAAACATTTATTTATACATTCACAAAATACAACAAAATCTAATAATATAGTTTGAAAACAATGGAAATTGAATTAAAAATAAAAAAAGTTAAGCGCGACCCCTTGTGTCAAAATTAAATGATTAAATTTTTGCAATTTTTACACCATTTGATGACCGGTGGCGCCACTAGTGTTTGTTCGCGCGGTTAGTATCTTACTGCCGATTATGACCATTATGAAAAAGTTCTAAAGGGGGATGTTTTGTGATTCAAATATGACAATTCGAAAAAGTCAAACAGAACTGCCAAAAAAGGGGAGTTCATAATGTTGATTCCGTCACCAATACATGAATAGGTGGATACCAATTCAAGATAAACGAAAAGTGGATGAAAATTTTGATTTAAATATTCTTTTTATACACCTTGTAAATGAAGCAAATTATTTTTATTGGCCAGTGCTGCATTTTTAAATAATAAAATATCAAATTCGTATATCATTTTTTAATAGATTTTAGCGTTAGACATACATAATGTTACAAAAATATTTTCAATCCTAATCAATGTATATACATAAAAACTCGCTTACCATAATACCGTATGATGAAAAAAAAACGGCGTCCAGTTGGCTCGGAAATGAACATCAATGACATTTCCCATATAAATTTACATATAAAATGACAGCGATCTTCATTCCATAGCCATCGCTGACGCCGTTTTTTCTCGATCATACGTACATGTTATGTTAAAAACAACAAAAAAGTCTCCTAATCGCAGTTTTAAATAAATATGTACGATAAAAAGAAAATTAAATTTGTATAATAAAACGTGAAATAAAAAGTCAAAAAACCCTATTAAATCTTAAAAATAATAAGTTCATAGAACTGTTACTGGTATTCGAATTAGTGTGATCAAATAAAAACGACGTCACAGTGGGTCAAGAAGTTAAGTGTCAGTTTGGGCTAGAGTCTGTCCAGCAAGAGGATGCTTGACGGTGACAGTTGGTTGGTTATATTGTAGTTTTAACGACTATTTGAAAAATTAGAAATTCGAAAAAAAGAGATGTCACAGTCACAGTGGTCAAACGTCAATCGATGATAATTTCTATCGAACCAATCCCAATTATAAAAAGCGACATAAAAAATTATCAAAAATTGACAAAAAGATATACCGGGTGTTTCAAATTCGCCTCTCACCTCGCACCAAAAGATTAGGTGTGGCTTAAATTGGAGCAAAGTTGCCTGTTAAGTGAACCAAATGATAATCCGTTTAGTAATTGAACTTATCTTTGTGATTTCCGAAAATATGGCGGAAAAACTAAAATTTCCGGTTTTTGGTTTTACTTTTTTACGAGTTTATTTTGACAGTTAGAAAAAAACTACAACTACATTCTCACAGAAACCTTTCTAGCTTTATCCTTTAGACCAGGATTTTTTTCCTAGGACCATCATCAACTTTGTTTTTCTAAATAGAGACCTGGATTTTTTTATTTTAGAAGCTTATGACCTCCCAAATAGAATGATGTATCGCACTTACCCAAAAAATGTTGGGTGTTTTTTATACGCACATAACGAACAGAGATCCGTATACCGAAAACATTGCCTTTTATGAGAATATTCTTCATTATACATTTCTGGGACAAGTGCGCTGCAGTACTGTATTTGAGACGTCATAAGCTTCTAAAAAATTAAATAAATAAACCATATACGTACCTATTTAAAAAAATAAAGTTGATGATGGTTCCAGAAAAACGAAACGTCGTAAGTGATTTTCCACGTTACCAAAGGATGAAGCTAATATAGTTTCTGTGAGAATGTCTTTATAGATTTTTGTAACTGTCAAAATAAACTCGTAAAAAAATAAAAACGAAAACCGGAAACATCAGTTTTCCGCCATATTTCCGGAAATGACAATAAGTTCAATTACTAAACGGATTATCATTGGGATCAATGACAGGCAACTTTACCCTAGATTAGGCCACCCTGTATCTCTTACCGTTTCCGAGATCCCAATGGTAAGAGTCGAATTTGAAACACCCTGTATGTAATAGGGGTCGGCCAGACAGGAATTATCATCCATTGTCCAGTTTTTATTCAAACATACGAAATTTAAATTAAATCACGATCAGTAAAGCTCGAAGAAACGTTATTTCTACGTCTATTATGACGCCTTTTTCATCTGTGAAACTAAGTCGATTTGTGTTTTAAACTATTTACAAATTGTAACAAAACTAAGCTTTTTTCTTATCTGAAATCGGCTAGATTCACTATAGAAACGTTTGTATTGAATTCAAGTACGTCCTTGTGAACGTGCTGGAGAGAGTATGTAAGTGAGAGTACGTATCTATATGTATATGATGTAGCGAGGCGACCTCTCAAATTTGAATAGAAACGGTAAGATTTGGCTTCGTTGTCGCAAAATTCCTCTAAGATGCTAATAGTTTCTTTCATATTATGTTCGCTTTCGGAGTTTAAAACCACAAAAATCAGTTGAGGATTTTTTTTCAATAGTGTCTTTAACTGTGACTGAAATCCCGAATATTTGTCTATACAATTTACGTATATTCTTCTTAGTTTACACGAACTGATTTCGTTCAAACCTTCTAGTAACAATTCCAAGTTGATATGTTGACAGTAGATACTACAAAACATAAAATTAAGTTAAAATTATCACCTCATATTTCTTGATACAAAAAATAAATGTATTAATAAGAGATTAATAGAACATCACAATGATTAGAATGGTCTTTGACGGAAACAGGGCTGGGAGAATTGTCAGCACAGGAGCTTGGAACACCCTCAAAAAGGAAAAAACTCCACTCCTCCAACTCCAAGTGGATGATATACCAAGACCTGTGCCAAGACTGTAAAACAGCGTACACACTATGCGAGAAACAATTCGAAACATGTCAAAGTCGCATTTCGTCGCCCAACTTTGAACGCATTTCGATTTATTTCCAGTTGTCTTGACCCACTTCGGTTTGCCCCGACCTACTTTCGATTCTTAAAAGCGCCTGAAAACTACTCGTGAGGAGAGCGAGAGGGGATTTTTTTGGCGTTTTTTTGTTGCCTCGTTCAATTTTGTTTTGTTTTGAGCTATTTCCAAATCGTGGCGGTATTTGTATCCAAGGCAAAGGATTTTTTTTTTCATAAATCTCATTGAAATAAGTAAACCTAGACGTTTCTAAAATAGCTGTTGCTACGATGATATTTCTTTAATTACATCTCGTTTTATGTTATATTGATATACAGGGTGGTCCGAACTGTATTCCGGAAACTTCGGGAGCATATTCTGCAGATAAAAAGAAGTAAAAACTTTTTATAAATGTATGTCCAAAAATGCTTAGTTTCGGTTTGGTTAGATACAGGGTGTAGAAGTTTCATTTTTATTTCGATTTTTTCCAAATAATTTCTGAAGTAACGTAAATATTTGGATGAAAATTGGTGTCTGATAGTTTTTTGACATGAGAAAGTTGATTTTGATGTCATTATGACTCCTGTTTGTAGAGGGCGCCACCTACATGTGTTTTAACTGTTTTGAAGAGTAATAACTTTTTTTCCGTACCGGTATAGAACTGCTGAGTAAAAAAATATACACTTTCGTATTCTTTTACGTAAAAAATGTCTCTTGGTAAAAATCGTTACGAGCAACCCATCTCGAGATATTTAGAATGGAAATAGTCAATACATGTCATTATTGACAAAAAATAAACATGTTGAGTAGATAGTTATTGGACAAAAAAGGTAAATTTGGAAAAAAAATTATTTTTTTAAATTAATCATAAAATTTTCTTCGAAAAAATGACGATTGGTGATGATTTGGCACAAAAATATTTCAAATTTATGATTTCCGTCTATTAACTATTTAGCTCGCTATTTAGTCAACATGTTTAATTTATGTCAATGATGACAGGTATTGATAATTTCGATTTCAAATATCTCGAGAACTATTACTCGTAGCGATTTTTATTAAGACATCTTTTTTACGTTAAAAACCTCCTAAATGTATATTTCTTTACTTAGTAGTTTTATACAGGTACGGACGAAAAGTTATTACTCTTCAAACCAGTTAAAAATATATAGGTGGCGCCCTCTACAAGTAGGAGCCATATTGACATCAAAATCGAATTACTCATATGAAAAATGTTCTTTAAGTCTTTTATCGTTATTATTTTTGTTAATTAGTGTTAAATAAATAGTGTTTAAATAAATTGTGACTTTCTATCCACACGGAACCGACGAAAAACGTAACATTATGTTCCTTAAAATCAAAGAAGCGATTGTCATACATTACTAACATCTACAGATGCATGAGCAATACATTTATTTTTATTAGAGATTAGAGTGAATTAAAAAAGCCTCTTTAATTTTTCTTTTAGAGGCTATCGCTTCTTTCATTATAATTTTGGCGTTATTAAAATTTATTCTGTGCCCTGTGTCCCATGAATGCTGACAAATCTTAGATTTGTGAAAATCTCCCTTACTTAAATAATCTTTATGTTCTGTAATTCTAACATTTAAGGGTCTAGATGTTTCACCAATGTAAAGTAGTGTACTTGCAGTGCAGTGGCGAAATACTCATAAAGAATTTTTTTGGACTTGACGGAAGATAATCAAAAGCCAAAACCACATTTCTCGCAAATTTTGAAGTATAATTAGTGGAAAAGTTAAAAGTTTGATAACTAAAGCTTCATTCAGAACCTCGCAATTAGTGGTTTTAATTAGCGTAGAAGTTTGTTCCTTTAATTTCAACGTAAGAACGTCAAAATTAGTGGTAGACATTTTCAATTATTATAAAATATCAAACTTTTAACTTTTCTACTAATTATACTTCAAAATTTGCAAGGAATATCATTTTGGCCTTTGATTATCTCCCGTCAAGAGAAATTGTGGTTAGAAATCAAAAGTTGATTGTGTTTTATAAGCTAAATATTAGGGTTTCTCTATGGATACAACTGGCTAACGCAAGCTGTTGTTAGGATAGTCTATTAATTTTAATTGTGTTTTTTAACTATTGTGAATGATCGTAAACTAAAAAGTATAAAGTGTAATTGAAACCACTAATTTATTCCACTAATTTTGAGGTTCTGAATTAAGCTTAACGCCTCTTCAAAAAAGTCTAATACAACTTTCGCATATCAGCCGGGGAGATAATATTTGACCTTTTCAAAATATACATGGTATATAGTAAAAAGGTGGAAACGACACGTCTTTACCGATTTATACACTGTGCACAAAACCAATTAAAACAAAAAATAATCTAAAATAAACAACAAACTTTGTATCAACTCGAAAAATGTGGAACAAAACTGACAAGAGTCTCAATACGGTTACCATGACGTCGCTTCTGTCTCTTTCATAAACGAATATTAAAAGTGTATTAAATACCTACAATCCTTCTTTAGTTTTATTTTTATTCAACGGATTGAACGGTACCTGGGACCAGCTCGCTATTACAAGTTCTTCAAGTTTACTACAGTTTTCTACTATATCCTGAAACGGGTAGATTCTTTCTAGATTTTCTATAACGTGATCTTTCCTAGGAGGTGGTTTTCCTTAAAAAAAAATTATAATATTAATAAAAAATGATTATCGCATTATAGCAAATCGTTTACTTTGCAATACACAGGATCCTACACGAAGTTTCTTCAGGTTTCTCGAGTTGGGTGCTTTGAGAAAATCCCAAAATGCCGTGATATCAGTTATATTACAATAGCAGTCACGAAAATTCAATTCCTCAAACTGCACGTCCTTCACGTTCCTAGTCATGTAGATTTTCTAAAATAATATATACAGGGCGAGTCAACGATAATTGCGAAAGTAAAACGAAAATTAACATTGCCATGTTTATTTTCGCAATTACGGAAAAACGTTAAATAGAAATTTTTTTAAGGGTTTAATATTAAGATACACAATTTTAACTTATTTTAGAGTATACAGGGTGCTTCAAAAAAGTGTGGGCGACATAATATACAGGGTAAGTCTTCTACGACGTTCTCTATGGGTATCTCGGAAACTGCTGGTGATAGAGAGTCGGTTAAATGGGGAAAGAATTGCAGTTTTGTGGGGACATAAATATGCGCCATTCAGATTTTTGAAAAAGTCCATGGCTTACTAGATATTTCGAAAAAAAAAACAAATTTCGGCTATTTTAAAAATGGTCCCTGATTTCATTATAATCTATTTTAGTCAAAAAGTTTTCAGATAAAAGTTGTAGATAATCACATCCTTAATGAGATTGAGTTGTCCTTTTTTTTCTAAAGCCTGTCATTTTTGACATATGACACAAACTTATGTTTTTTTTTTAAATGGAAACCACAGTTGGCCATAACTTCATAAAAAGCGCCATTTTTTAACTATTTCAGCGATATAAGCTATAATATGCTTTTTTAGAAAAATTACTGAGTTATAGCCAATTCTTATCTTACTTCAATTTCACTTAGTTGGTATGGTATTCCATATTCTGTTATTTAATTAATTATTATATTATTATATATTATTCTTATTCTGTTATTTAATTAATTATTATAATTTATAACTTATAAAAAGACAGAATATTTTATTAAACGGTTCTTTACAATTTACATTAAACAAACTAAAAGTTAAAAAAATAATTATCACTACATACACTTTAAGTTATATTAGAAAATGTTCACAAAATATACCGCATAAAAAAATCGAAAATGAAAAAAAAACCTCTTCCTATCCCTGAGTTTGAATAACTATAATATGAATAATTTTTAACATTTCTTTCATTTAGGGGGGGGGGGGAAGAGTCAAAATGAAAGTCATGTTGGAACCACTCTATTGCAGTCTCTAAATTTAACTTTTCTAACATGTTTTAAAAACCGTTCTCTAAAAGCCGTATCTAACGTATCTTCGAAAATGTATAGCCAAGAACACGCTTTTCTTCATTTGAAAAATTCATATTTACAATTTTTTGTTATTTTAATTTACAAGTTTGGATGTGACAGTTTGGCATTTCTGAAGGACGGTCCACACTTGCTATATAACACCGCTCTATAGCAAAGTTATATAACATGTTACATATTTTTAGTCATATTTAGCAAATTCCGCTGCTATATAACTTGCTAGATGTTATCCATTTGTAGTCGGTAAAGATCAAAAGATGTTGCTCAACACTGCTATTGTAACATGAAACAATGCGTCCAGACTGGCTAAATTTCTAGTTTAGCCGTTCATATTTTTTTGTTTATTTACTGGTCAATAATACCGTATGATCGAAAAAAAAACTGACTGCGTCCAGTCGGCCTCCCGTCCAGTTGGCTTGAACATGACGATCGATGACATTCCCAATATAATTTTTCATATAAAATGACAGCGATCTTCATTTCATAGCCATCGCTGACGCCATTTTTTTTCGATCGTATGGTTCTTATATATAGAGAAAGATAGTAAAAAGCTTGAACTTATAGTAAAGTAAAACTTTTTATTACTTTCTCTATGTTCTTATATTGTTAATGGAGTAGAGCCAAGAGCAGACTTGTCAACTAATTAAGTTGTAGAAGGGTTGTAGGTATAGAGATCATACAGTGTTATGGGATATCCGTAGTCCCTCATTTAAAGTGAAATAAAAAAAAGCATGATGCATGGTTAAAAATTGCAAAAAGTGTGTATTTGGAAAGATAAAAAGTTGAGAAAAAAAATGCGTTATCTAGTAGGGCAGTTCCAGAGGGAACAAAAGAAATGCAAATCAGGTACTGGTTTAGACGAAGTGGATAATTTAAAATGGTTTGCTTTTAAGTTATATCAATGTTTTTAAAAGACAGAAACACACCACGAGAAACAGCCGAGGCAGGTATTGAAAAGGTAAGCTAATTGAGTTCAACTACATATAGATCTATCTTGTAGGCTAGGGCGGACTCAAAACCGCTTTTTTTCTAGCCTTTCTTTCTCTTTCTTTAAAAATAATTCCGCACGCCGCTGCTGCTAGCAGAACCTCTTTCTCGCCAAAATGATTCATGATTACGAAAACTATAATGTGGTCGGCTCCCGGTTTTTTAGCATGTGATATGGAACTTGTTAAATAGCAATGTTATATAACATGTTAATAAAATGTGGACCCTCCTTGAGAGCAACGACTATTGAACTTGTTTCCATGGCTAATTAAGTGAAATTGTTTAAAAATGATAAGAATTGTTTATAACTCAGTAATTTTTCGAAAAAAAAAAATATATTATAGCTTATATCGCTGAAAAGCTTAGAAAATTATGCTTTTTATGAAGTCATGGTCAACTATGGTTTCCATTTAAAAAAACATAAGTTTGTGTAATATATCCAAAATGACAGGCTTTAGAAAAAAACGGAGAACGCAATCTCATTAAGGATGTGATTATCTACAACTTTTATCTGAAAACTTTTTGTCTAAAATAGATTATAATGGAATTAGGGACCATTTTTAAAATAGCCGAAATTTGATTTTTTTTCGAAATATCTAGTAAGTCATGAACTTTTTCAAAAATCTGAAAGTCGTATATTTATGACCCCACAAAACTGCAATTCCTTCCCCATTTAACCGACTCTCTATCTCCAGTAGTTTTCGAGATACCCATAGAGAACATAGAAAACTCACCTTGTATAGTTAGGTATATTCTTTATAATCTGTGCTCACCTCAGCGGCTTTCACATCGTATGGCAGATCTCTATAAGTTCGTCTCCTAAGTGCGTTCCATGCTTTCTCGAGTCGAGTCTCGCAAGGACCCAATAATGAAATATCTTCTAAAAGAACTATCTTTTCTGGGGGACACTTTACTAAAAATATTACGGAATTTAGGAATTCAATACATTATAAACTCTTTTATATCTGTACATTACCATACACTTTAAAACTTGACAGAGACCCAAAAATATTACATTCATAAACTTTAGCCATACCGACAGGTTCAAAGTCAAAGTCATTATATATATTTATTTTTATTACTAATGTGTTTAAAGAGTTTAAGTTACAGAGAATCCGGTCATAGCATGTCTCTAATGTCCCGTTATGTCCCTCTAAACCAACGATCTAAAATTATGGTGATGTGTTAATAGATTTATCAGGAGGAAGATAAAAAACAAATTACCCATAGTTCTGTTAAAGCATGCAGTTTTTTAAACATCCCATACAAATTTGCATGATCTTCAGAGCTCAATATATGTTTAGCTTGGACAATTCTAAGACAAAATCTCTTCAAGAGGAACATATGATTCTCTACTGAAGAACTTTTAATATACATATCGTCATCCAATAATACACAAACTGCTAATGCTCTAAGCTAAAATATTGTCGTAATTATGAGTTATGAGATAATAAAATAGAAATTTATATATATATGTCATAGCATAGTGTATTCCGGCTATTCATGAAGAGCCTAGTCACTTAATGAAAAAAAAAATAACCTAATAACATAACTAAACTACTAAGGGCGCAAACATAGTGAGACATCTCGATGCGATGCTCGCCAAGATGCTGGCCGTGCTGCTCGCCAGGATGCTAGCCGCGATCCATCCTATACGCGCACTGTTTTAAAACGGCGAGTAAGTGCGCGTAGGATGCATCGCGACTATCGTACAAACATAGTGCGGGGCATTTCATCTCGACGCGATGCGCGCCATTCACCTCGCCATCCGGCGATGCTGAATCAAACATGTACAAATTTATGCGTCAAAACATACCGGAGCCTCACACCTCGCCACGCACCTATATGTTCAGCGCGATGCCTCCTAGGAAACAAAATTTTTATTTTTTAAAATTTACATTTGATTGGTCGGTTTAGGATCACAATTCGTTGAGCATATGTCGAACTAGAGTCGGGTGGAATAAAATATTTACAATACTAGTATTTAATTTATCACCAACAATGTAATCACCTTGATTCTAGAGAGTCCGGCAATAGTGCGTCAGGCATGCATCTGCAGCTCCTTTATTAAAAAAACTTTTTTGTAGTCCAGACATAAAGTATGTATTAGGATGTATTTGAGGAAATTATTTGAACTTAATTAAAAAATTTAAAGGGTGGCTCAAAAAAGTGTGAGTGGATCGCGAATATTTTTTTAAATAGAACACCTATACACAGAGTGGCGCAACTCATTCGCCTCGGTTGATTATACGAAAACGGAAATATGTAGAAACAAAATATTTTATGGGCTTATGTGGGAAGACCATGTGTATAATTTAAAATTATTTTGAAATGTACAGGGTATGTCAGAACTAAGATTTACACCAAAGTTATATTTTTTCTTATGGAACACCCGGTATTTTATTTCATATTTGGATCCTTGGACACAAAATAAGGCCTTTATTATAAGGGTTATTATATATTAATATGTTTACAAGCTTTGGTTTTTGAGATATTTGAAGATATATAAATATGCATGCTACAATGGAATAGATTATCAACACCCTGTGCATTACTTTTTAGAATTAATTATTGTGCTGAGTTTAAAGATAGAGAAATAAACTTTACTGAAAAATTGTATTGCTCCCTTAAATTTATACAGGGGTACCAAAAATTGATGATTTATTTTAAATATTTATTTTACATAAAAACCTTTTGTTATTTCAAATGCGACAACCTGTATTTTTTAAAATAAATCGAAACAGATTCAAATGCTCTTTCAAACTATTATTAGGGTATCCTATACCTATCTAGCTCAGATTTTGAGTAAAGAGCAATTTTTCAATAAAATGGCAACAAAGAGGACTGATGTCGTCATGGCAAGTTTCTAATGACAGTAGCTATTTTCAAAATCGAAATTAGTTTATGGACTTTATTTATTTATAGCAAGTACTTTAATCGCTAGTTGATTAAAAAAAAGTATAACATTAATATTGCAAATTATATTTTATCCTCTTATAGTATATATATGTCTTTTTAATTTTTTTATGATGTAACGAGCACTTTGTTTCGTCGAAATGTTTCGTCGAAATGCTTGTTTCGTCGACTTGTTGAAATGTTTCGTCGACTTGTTTCGTCGAAATGCTTGAATCCATTTTTGCTTTTGATCAAATCGGTGTGAGAAACTATGAAGCTATAAAATGTTGTTTCGGGAAAGTTGAATATCAGGGAAAGTTGAGTTATTGAATGTATGTAATTGCACCCAACAACGCCCTAAGTACGCTCTCCTTTACGCATTAACATTTTTTCGGCAATTTTATTAACATTTGAAATTGTCACGACCACAGCACGACGCCTAGTTCGAATTCTTTTTAATTTATTTTTAATTACCCGAAACAGCGTTACATCACACAAACCTCGTACCTGAGTGTTTTATCTCTTTTTTGTCTCAATAACTGCACTAGCAAAAAACTAAAATACTTAAATATAAAGAAGTGTCTAGCCCTAGCAGTCAACTATTAAGCTTGACCAATCAGGTTGGTTAGCGTGGTTATGTGGAGTGTGTTAATTCATTTATGTTTGTCAAAAACCCTAACGTGATTGGTCGGGCTTAATAGTTGCCTGCTAGGGCTAGACACAAGTAAATATAACCAAACCAAACCACGATTTCAATATTATTCTATGCGATCAACATGACGGCGACGTGAAATAGGTAGGGATAATATCTGATTTTTGCCGTTGTAGCGCTGCGAACTGAATTTGTTGAAATCAACTGAAATGCAACAAGGGCCTATACTAATTAATTAATATCTGCTTTATATAAACTGGTGTTTAATAAAACGGCGATGGTAAATGCTTCAGTATGCCTACGCGCACCTATTCGCCGTTTTAAAACAGTGCGCGTAGGATGCATCGCGGCTACCATCCTGGCCAGCATCTTGGCGAGAATCGCATCGAGATGCCTCACTATGTTTGTGCCCTAACCTAACCGACGCTTCATGAAGTGACCTAGGATCTTCATGAAAAGACGGAATACACGTGACTACGATACATACATTCCCATAAAATTTCATATCTTCTGCGAGTAAACTTAAGTTAGTCTCCAAGGCATATAGTTCTTCCAATTTAGGTAAAAGGCTCAGTAAATTTCTTAAATCATCTCTCGGTACCCAATAAAGATTATTTATGTTTAAAGACCTGATATGATCATACTGCACTTTTTCTTTAATGAATTTAACGAAATCGACCTGCACAAACGTGTAGTTTCCTTGCACGTCAAACTTCCTTAAAACAAAAACACGTTCAATGTATAAAGAGGAGTTAATCCATCAACTGTTAGAATCATACTTTACTATATTTTCGTCTGTTAGCAAATACTCAAACTCGTTAAAAGCTTCACAAAAATTTATTAAATCAGTTGTCGAGAGATATTTAAAAATTTTAGTCCACATCTCTATAGGAAGGTGAATAATTTTCGTCTTTATATAGTATATAACACCAAATGTGACTTTGATATATAAAATTTTCTTTTTCTGAAATAAAAATATTTTGAAATTACAAAAATCAGTCGTTATTTTTGTTATTACAGCGTTTTCAGATGGAGCGGAGCGTCCGCGACTTCGAGCAAGTACCATGAGTTTATAGCTTTGTCCCGGTTCTTGTTATTACCGATTCTGAACCGTCCTAGACCTGTGATGCGTATGCGCAGAAGGAAATATGAAGACATTATTTCATTTGCGCATGCGCTGCAGAGCTCTAGGACGGTTCAGAATCGGTAATAACAAGAACCCGAAAAAAGCTTATATGAACGATTTCACATGGGTCGCGTACGCTCCGTCCGGATGAGCTATATCAAAGAATATTATAGTTTTAAGAACTCTCGTGTGGAAGCTTTAGTGATTTGTCATACGGTGGCGCTTTTGAACATAATCGAAGCCTGAAAATGCTAATATTTTAAATTTTGAGGACTACGCGCGGCGATATTTCGTACGGTGTTGCCAAACATATTTTATTTCTTGATATTTAAAGAAATATGTATTGATTATATATTTCGTATATTCGATAGTACATGAGGCATCCTAAGGCTATGAAAAAAAACGTAGCTATGAAAATAAAATTTTAGATTTTTAATTTTTTTTGTACCTTCTAATAAAATTACTTCTATTCAATAAAAAATTAACTAGTATGATTATGTGTTATCTGTGCTAGTATTAGGAAACTGGAGTAAATACGGAGAATATTAATTGTTCTCCAAGATGAGCACTACTAAGTAATTTTTAAAATTCGACCCATAAGGGGGGTGTAATTAGATAAAGGGATGTAATTATACAAAAAAAAAATCTGTACCTACTAGGAGTATGAACTTTTGCACAGATGTGGCGCATTTGAACATTAATAAGCGATTTTTGGAAATGTATAGCCTAAGGGTAGTGAAACTGGGGGTGAAATTTTGTACAAAAAGTGTTAGTTCTAGGAGTATGAAATTTTGTACAGAGTTTCCTTAAGTGACGAAAGTGATTACCTAGAAGCTAATTTTTGACATTCATCCCTTAGAAATAAGGGATGAAAATTTGTACAAAAGGTTAAAATCGGTTTTAGAAGTATGAATTTTGCAGACGTTCCTTATGTAACGTAATTTAGCATTAAGAAGCAATTTTGGAAATTCGCCCCTAAGGGTGTGAAATGAGGGGTTGAACTTTCTGGAACAATAAATTCTGTTCAAGGAATATGAGAATTTGCACAGAGGTTCCTTATGTAGCGTAATTGAATAATTAGAGTGATTTTTGGAATTCATTCCTTAAGGGGGTAAAACTAGGGGTGAAAATTTGTATAATTTTTTATGTAAAATCCGTTCTAGGACTAGGAGTATGAAATTCTGTTCAGAGGTCCCTTAAATGATGAAAGTGAGTACCTAGAAGCGAATTTTAGGCATGCATCCCCTAAAAAATAAGGGATGAAAATTTGTACAAAAATTTTGTTAAAATCGGTTTTAGAAGTATGAATTTTGCAGACGTTCCTTATGTAACGTAATTTAGCACTAAGAAGCAATTTTTGGAAATTCGCCCTCTAAGGGTGTGAAATGAAGGGTTGAACGTTCTGGAACAATAAATTCTGTTCAAGGAATATGAGAATTTGTACAGAGGTTCCTTATGTAGCGTAATTGAATAATTAGAGTGATTTTTGGAATTCATTCCTTAAGGGGGTAAAACTATGGTGAAAATTTGTATAATTTTTTATGTAAAATCCGTTCTAGAACTAGGAGTATGAAATTCTGTTCAGAGGTCCCTTAAATGATGAAAGTGAGTACCTAGAAGCGAATTTTAGGCATGCATCCCCTAAAAAATAAGGGATGAAAATTTGTACAAAAATTTGTTAAAATCGGTTTTAGAAGTATGAATTTTGCAGACGTTCCTTATGTAACGTAATTTAGCACTAAGAAGCAATTTTTGGAAATTCGCCCTCTAAGGGTGTGAAATGAGGGGTTGAACGTTCTGGAACAATAAATTCTGTTCAAGGAATATGAGAATTTGCACAGAGGTTCCTTATGTAGCGTAATTGAATAATTAGAGCGATTTTGGAATTCATTCCTTAAGGGGGTAAAACTAGGGGTGAAAATCTGTATAATTTTTTATGTAAAATCCGTTCTAGGACTAGGAGTATGAAATTCTGTTCAGAGGGCCCTTAAATGATGAAAGTGAGTACCTAGAAGCGAATTTTAGGCATGCATCCCCTGAAAAATAAGGGATGAAAATTTGTACAAAAATTTGTTAAAATCGGTTGTAGAAGTATGAATTTTGCAGACGTTCCTTATGTAACGTAATTTAGCACTAAGAAGCAATTTTTGGAAATTCGCCCTCTAAGGGTGTGAAATGAGGGGTTGAACGTTCTGGAACAATAAATTCTGTTCAAGGAATATGAGAATTTGCACAGAGGTTCCTTATGTAGCGTAATTGAATAATTAGAGTGATTTTTGGAATTCGTTCCTAAGGGGTAAAACTAGGGGTGAAAATTTGTATAATTTTTTATGTAAAATCCGTTCTAGGACTAGGAGTATGAAATTCTGTTCAGAGGTCCCTTAAATGATGAAAGTGAGTACCTAGAAGCGAATTTTAGGCATGCATCCCCTAAAAAATAAGGGATGAAAATTTGTACAAAAATTTGTTAAAATCGGTTGTAGAAGTATGAACTGTGCAGACGTTCCTTATGTAACGTAATTTAGCACTAAGAAGCAATTTTTGGAAATTCGCCCTCTAAGGGTGTGAAATGAAGGGTTGAACGTTCTGGAACAATAAATTCTGTTCAAGGAATATGATGATGATTATATATGATGATTTGCACAGAGGTTTATTATGTAGCGTAATTGAATAATTAGAGCGATTTTTGGAATTCATTCCTTAAGGGGTAAAACTAAGGGTAAAAATTTGTATAATTTTTATGTAAAACTGTTCTAGGACTAGGAGTATGCAATTTTGTACAGAGGTCCCTTAAGTGATGAAAGTGTGTACCCAGAAGAAAATTTTGGACATGCACCTCCTAAAAATAAGCACTCCCTATAAAACAATTAAAATAAAAAATTTGTCTAAAAAATAAAAAAAAAAAAGTTGGGGTGGGCCACTCTTATCACTTAGGGGTATAAAAATAGATAACAACCTAGGAATAGGTTGTGACCAAACCAAACCAAACCAGACCTACTGAATATACATATAAAATTTTATCAAAATCGGTCTAGCCGTTTCGGAGATGGTAACAAAAATAAAAAAACAACCCCTATTAAAATATAGGGATGATGGTGGAACGGTGAAAATTTAGGGTTATTTGTATTTATTAATGCCAACTAAAATAAAAACATTTTTTCTTTTCAAAAAAATAAAAAATGAGGGTGGGCTACCATTACCACATAAGGGTATAAAAAGATAACAACCTATTCTTAGACGTACTGAATATACATATAAAATTTTATCAAAATCGGTCAAAGCCGTTTCACGGATGGTAACAAAAATTAAAAACAACCCCTATTAAAAAATAGGGGGGGATGATGGTAGAACGGTGAAAATTTTGGGTTCTTTGTATTTTTTAATGCAAAATAAAAAAATAAAAATATATATTTTTTCAAAATATAAAAAATGGGAATGGGCTACCCTTATCACTTAAGGGTATAAAAAATAGATAACAAACTATTTTCAGACCTACTCAATATACATAATAAAATTTCATCAAAATCGGCAAAACCGTTTCGGAAATGGTAACAAGAAACTTAAAAAAAAACCCTATTAAAAATAGGGGATGATGGTAGAACGGTGAAAATTTTAGAGTTGTTTGTATTTTTTAAGGCCAAATAAAAAAATATTTTTTTCAAAAATAAAAATTAGGGTAGGCTACCCTCTCGGCTACCCTTATCACTTAAGGGTATAAGAATAGATAACAACCTATTCTTAGACGTACTGAATATACATACATATAAAATTTTATCAAAATCGGTCAATCGGAGATGGTAACAAAAAACTTAAAAAAAAACAACCCCTATTAAAAAATAGGGGATGATGGTAGAACGGTGAAAATTTAGGATTGTTTGTATTTTTTAATGCCAAATAAAAAAATTAAAATAATTTTTTTTCAAAAATAAAAAATGGGGTGGCTACCCTTACCACTTAAGGGTATAAAAAATAGATAACAAACTATTTTCAGACCTACACAATATACATAATAAAATGTCATCAAAATCGGCCAAGCTGTTTCGGAGATGGTATCAAAAAACAACCCCTATTAGAAAATAGGGGATGATGGTAAAACGGTGAAAATTTAGAGTTGTTTTTGTATTTTTAAGGCCAAATAAAAAATATTTTTTTCCAAAAAATAAAAATGAGGGTGGGCTACCCTCTCGGCTACCCTTATCACTTAAGGGTATAAGAATAGATAACAACCTATTCTTAGACGTACTGAATATGCAAATAAAATTTTATCAAAATCGGTTAAGCCGTTTCGAGATGGGAACAAAAATCTTAAAAAACAACCCCTGTTAAAAAATAGGGATGATGGTAGAACGGTGAAAATTTAGGGTTGTTTGTATTTTTAATGACAAATAAAAAAATTAAAATATTTATTTTTCAAAAATAAATAAAAAATGGGGCTGGGCTACCCTTACCACTTAAGGGTATAAAAATAGACAACAAACTATTTTCAGACCTACTCAATATACATAATAAAATGTCATCAAAATCGGCCAAGCTGTTTCGGAGATGGTATCAAAAAACAACCCCTATTAGAAAATAGGGGATGATGGTAGAACGGTGAAAATTTAGAGTTGTTTGTATTTTTAAGGCCAAATAAAAAAAATATTTTTTTTCCAAAAATAAAAAATGAGGGTGTGCTACCTCTCGGCTACCCTTATCACTTAAGGGTATAAGAATAGATAACAACCTATTCTTAGACGTACTGAATATACAAATAAAATTTTATCAAAATCGGTTAAGCCGTTTCGAGATGGGAACAAAAATCTTAAAAACAACC